AGGTTCTCAAAAGTGGATTTAGAGGTTTTTTATCACCGTTTTGTGATACAGTTCACTGAGCACTTACACAGATTAACAGTTACAAGTTTCTATAAATCAGTTAAAATATAGTCATTCGATTCTAAATCAGTTGGAATATAGTCAGCTTCAGGGACGGAATTTTCAACAAGTGCAACCTTTGATTGTTTTACTATGGGAACTTTCAGTGATATAATTGACAACATTATAACAATAACAGGTAAAGTATGTAAGGAACTCTCAAATGCCTTACGGAACTCATTGAAAATGTGTTTATCCAATTGATTCAACTTTTATAGGTTTATATGCTCTCATATAAACCAATTTTTAAAAACCCTTGGAAACACATTTTTTTAGAAGTTCTCATTTACTTATAAAGATTAATAATCAAATTACTACAATTAATATCCATTTGGCCTTTTCAGTAGTCTAAATATCTAGCCATCTATAACACTAATTCATCTAGCCAATTCAAAATAAGGCTAATTCATAACCTGTCTTAAAAATGTTTGAAGTAGTATCAAGAACATTGTTTATGCATGTTATGATACTATTTGTGGAACTGTAAAATTATTATGAGTATTTTAAACTGTGCTTACTTAGCTAGAAGAAAATGAAATAAAAATGAAAAAATACTGTCAAATTTTACCTCTCTGGACTTTTTAAATAGTACTAAAAACAGAAAGGTGTTTATAAAACACCTTTCATGGTTGATCAGTGTATGAAAGGTATACTGTGGTGATGTAAACACACCTCTTTCAGATAAAGAATCCAAGGTTAAGAGCACAGCCTTTATTACTGTAACACTTATAACTTATATATTTCTAGATTTTGATATGAAAAAGTCACTTACAAAAGCTGGTGCCTACAACTTTCATTAATTTTTTTAGTATGCACTAGGTACAAGTACTCCAAGTCACTATAATGAAACTGATACTTGTTGATTCATTTGTTAATGAATCAGCTCTTATTCTTGCAATATAAATACAAACAATAGATCTGACTCAGGTGAAATCAACTTAATAAAAATATCTAAGTCCTCTTCTGATTGAGGAGGATGAGATCCTCATTATATGATTAGTTATTTAAAATCACAAAATAGAGATGGATTCATAATAATCAATCATGCATTATTTAAACCAATCCTTAAGCCAAAATCTTTTAAGTATAATATTTTCTATTCATATGAAAATATTGTGATTTCAACAGAGTGAAACCCCATCTCTACTCTGAAGCTTAAAATGTTCCTCCTTCTCAACCTGTTCCTTTTAGTTTTCCCCATCTTCATTAATGGCAACTCCAGTCTTTCCATTGCTCAGGGTGAAAATCTCGGAGTCATCCTTGAATTCTGTCTCTCATACTTCATATCTAATCTATTAACAAACCTTGTTCGCAGTACCTTCCAAATATATTCAGAATTTGACCACGTCTCATCTCTGCTGTCACCTTGGCCAGGTTATCATCATCTCTTATCTAGATTGCAGGAGAAGCTTCCTATCTCCTGCTTTTGTCTTTTCCCACTCTATTGTCTTCTCTCAACACATTTACACATTCAACAAACAGAACAGGGATGGTTGAGTGTTCTGTCAGACCCACAGATCCTAAACACTGCCCTCAGATAACATGCAAAAGTTTTAGCACCAGGTTGTACCCTTGAAGGGGCCTGAAACAGAAATCAGTTCATTCTTTTCAGTGCCCAGTGTCTCTGTCTTTGCAGATACTCATTCTCTCTTGCCTTTGATTATTGCTAGAAACTCGTGACTGTATTTTATGCCTCCAGATGCTCCCTTTTTAACATAGCCTCATTCTTCCTAAATACCTAAGGTACTAAATTGATCATGCAATTTTCTTAAGAAAAATTTACCATTTACCCTGAAGATAATTTATCAGCCTTTTCAGCTTTGTTTCCTGCACTTACACCAATGTGCTAGCCCCTTTTACTACTACAACTAAACTGGGCACAGCTTTGAAAATCTGTTCCTATTGCCAGATGCGGTGGCTCATGCCTGTAATCCCAGCACTTCGGGAGGCTGTGGCATGTGAATCACCTGAAGTCAGGAGTTTGAGACCAGCCTGGCCAACATAGTGAAACTCCGTCTCTACTAAAAATACAAAAATAGCTGAGTGTGGTGCTGTGCGCCTGCAATCCCAGCTTCTTGGGAGGCTGAGGCAGGAGAATTGCTTGAACCAGGGAGGCAGAGGTTGCTGTGAGCTGAGATTGTGCCATTGAACTCCAGCCTGGACAACAAGAGTGAAACTCCATCTCAAAAAAAAAAAAAAAAAAAATCTGCTCCCATTAAAGTCCATGTTCACATGTTTCCGAATCCATGAAGGCTTCACTGAAACTTCTTATCCTCAACCTCAGCAATATTGTTTCTTCAGCTTCAGTTCATGGTATTTTGTTTATCTTCCTAGAATAGACCTTATACAATGTAGCCAAGATGTAACATATTTCTTGCCACTGGATTTTGGGCTGTGGGATTTATTTTTAAATTTGTCTTTGCATCTTCATTGCCTTAGCCTAATGACTGACTCATATTTCTGGTAAGTAAATCTGCTTTAATCTCTTGAGTTCCCTAAAATGTTACCATAACAAATCAAAATCTGATTGAAGACCCTAATTTCAGGCAACTTTCAATCTAAAAATCAAGAGTATAACCTAGATGTCAGCTGGACTTCCCTGGCATTATGTCCTTCAGGTCAATATCCACCACCTATATATAACTCAATTGTGAAATTTCTGAGTTTCCAAGAATTCATCCATACTAGGTATTTCAAGCATTTAATAGCCAAACTTTTTCAGGGCTATATAGCTCCTGCCATCTTCCTTACTGTCTTCCTCTACTTCACTCCTTGCTTTTGAAACACATTTCTCTTACTTTCTCATTAGACATGTTTTAACTTTCTCTGAAGTCCTAGTTCTAGCCAACATACCTGACCCATAAGAAATCACCTTAAGTAGGATTATTCAAGATATTTTCTCAGCTAAAAGGATTCTCTCAAGATTAATTATCAATCCAGCTAGTAAAAGATTTTCTTGTTACATCTTCCTCTGAGAAAAATATTTGCAACACTTTGCAAATTTATCACATAAATTCACTCCTCAAAGGCAGTTAGAAGACAATAAAACATGCTATTTATCTGTGGTACCTGAGCCTCCTGGGATTTAAAGCCCATCCAGCCTTCATTCTTTTTCTCAGGCAGTTACCCTTAATCTTTCATGTGCTTCAGAACCACTTGGTGGACTTCTTTAAAACCAACTCCTAGACCTACTCCCAGAATTTCTGACTCAGCAGGTTTGAGAGTTGGGGAGGATTCTGTATTTCTAAATGGTTTCCAGGTGATACTGATGCTGCCTGTCCTAGGACCACATTTTGACAACTCCTGCCATAAGTGGTGCTTAAATCTGGTTGCACATAAAATCAACAACTGGGGAGCTTTTAAAAATCTTTATGTCAAGACCACACCCCAGCCAAATAAAATTTGAATCTCTGGGGATAGCCAGGCCTTGGTATTTTTTTAAAAAACTTTTCTGGTAATTACAGTGTGCACCCAAGTTTGAGAACCTGTGCCCTACAGGATTAAGTAAAATTCCCCTTTGGGCCTTGTTACGGTAGACTCTCAAGAAAAGCCCTTTTATGGGACCTGAGACTATCTATACTATATATAATTTTTCTACTCATGAGAAGCAAATAGGAGCAAGAGATGGGGATTACCGGGAATTGTGCTTAAACAAGAATCTGTGTGATTTAGCAAGCATCTAGAAGATGAGAGGCATGCCTACTTTAAATTACTTGCCAGAAGCCTTTCTTTGTTTAGAAATCATGATTGCTTCTGACTTTAGAAGGAAGGGAGGACAAAAGACGTGGCTCAGATGAGGCAAATGTGCTGTAATCTTTTGTTACCTCTGGTTCACATGTTCTGCCAAGGAAAGTTATCAGTGGCATCCCATTCAAAGACTTCTTGAATCTCCAGCCTGTTTCCCTTCACATTTTTTTCTATGCATAGAAACTGCTTTACAGGTAGCAAATTAGAGAGCATAGTTTTTAGCGAGGAATTCAAGTTTGTTTTGGGGAGTTTTACCATTTACCCTTTTGACCAAAGGATGGGATCTACATTTCTCCACTTCTGGGGATCTTGTTGGAAATTTGACCTCAAGTAGCTGTGTCATACTTAAGTCAACTCCAGCTGCTTAAGTCTGAATTGGTGCCCAGAACTCCAACTCATACAGACTTATTTCCTTAGAGTAGGCAGTATTATTTCTCTTTTCAAAATTATCTTCATTTAGATTGACAGTAGGGGAGACCTCCCTGGGATATCAAGAAATTCAAACCTCAGTAATGCTTTGCTATGGTAAATTCTGTGCAATTCTTATGTAACCTATTCCAATAAAATTTTATTCTCCAAACTGATCAGAAGCCTCTTTTTACTAATTGCAAAAATCATAGTCTTAATATGTACAAATCCCTATGGTTCTTTGTGATACCTAGACCCTCTTCAAGTGTTAGATGTTCAGCCTGAGACAGATGCATTGGCAGTTTTGATATTACATATGACCTCTGCTGCTGGGACCTGTTAGCTTTCTATTTATTTCTCTGAGTGTGTCCTACTATCCTCAGTACTTAAGTGGCATATTAAAACCAAAACTCAAAATTCCCCTTTCCAATTTCTGATCCTTACTTCCCTGGAATGCCCTCTGCATTTTTAGTTACAGGGGGCCTATACCAGAGGCTTTAATTTTTGTACAATAGCTGTCTCACAGAAGGAGCCGGGTTCTAAGAAGTCTGCCCTAGAAGATGTAACATGGATGGAACTTTGGATCAGTTCCCAGAAGTCAGACTATGAACCTCCTTGCTCCTTACAGTTAAAAAAAAAAAAAGGAAGTCTCTGGATGCTAGTTTGACCAACTTCCAAAGTCCTTACTCTCCCGCTTCACTCTTATAAGCTCAAAAACTTGGCCGGGCGCGGTGGCTCACGCCTGTAATCCCAGCACTTTGGGAGGCCGAGGCGGGTGGATCACAAGGTCAAGAGATCGAGACCATCCTGGTCAACATGGTGAAACCCCGTCTCTACTAAAAATACAAAAAATTAGCTGGGCATGGTGGCGCATGCCTGTAATCCCAGCTACTCAGGAGGCTGAGGGAGGAGAATTGCCTGAACCCAGGAGGCGGAGGTTGTGGTGAGCTGAGATCGCGCCATTGCACTCCAGCCTGGGTAACAAGACCGAAACTCCGTCTCAAAAAAAAAAAAAAAACAAAACTTTGAACAGGTCTGGCTGTGGGTCCTAGAAAGGCAGTTTAATTGATGTCACAGTAGTTTCATACTAACTTTAGTGGCCTATGCAAGGTTAATCTCTACTTCCCCAGACCATGTATCCAACAATTTAGATTCATGATATAAATACTCACCTGCTCATTTCTGAGGCGGAGATTTAGTATAGATTTAGTCTTGAACTTTAGCACAAAGGCGCTAGATGAAAAATCAGTGACATCTGACTTCATTTGGGTTTTCCAGGCCTTGTAGTCTTATTTGTTGCCTCTATATGGCATCATATTAATCCAGGCATAAAAATCAGCAATTCTTTGATATTCTCTATAATGTTGCCCCATCAAAATACCATACGTTTGGTAATTTTGCTGAAAATTTGACAAGTTCTGGGGATGGGGCATATCAAGCACTGCATATCATTCCCCCAATATTTGAGTGGTTTTCTGTCCCACCTTAGCCTCTCTCCTCAAATAGTAAACAACTTTCTTTTCTTGTCTCAAAGTACTTTTTATCCCCTTTTCTGAAGTTTTGGCGTCAAGAGACATCTATGATTCTGAGAGTCACTTAGCACAAGTGAGACATATTCCTAACAAAAACAGATCTGCTGACAAAAAGTCTCGTGATTTTCTTAAGAGAAGAAAAATGTCCTCAAGTGCCAATTATTGGCCCCATTCACTAAGCCAGATGTTATATTCAACACTTTATGAATATTATTCCACTTAAGCCTTGGAACAATCCTTTGCAGGAGGCAGTGTTTTTCCATTTATAGTAAAACTCAGGCTCAGAGAATTTAAAAGGATATAGGTGGTAGATGGTGGAAATGAGGTTTGAATCTAATATTGACACCACAGCCTGTATTCTTAATCACTACACTACGCATCAACTACTTTTCTGGCACATGCTGCTGGGGATATGCGAGATACTCTTTTGCATCTTGTGCAATACCACAGAGGAATGCGAAAGAAATAGATCTCAGTACTCTCAAAAGCAGAAACAGCCCGGAGGGGGAGGGCTTGAGCCTACAAGTCTAGCATTTTGGGAGACTAGGGTGGGAGGATCCCGAGCCCAGTTCAAGGTTACAGTGAGCTATGTCTGCACCACTGCACTCACCCAGGTGACAGAGCAAGACTCTGTCTCAAAAAGAAAAAGTCACATATATACATAGAATATGCAATTAAAAAATATATTTTATAAACTATCTGTTACTATGAAATCTGTGCCAGTGTGAACTTTCTCCAAGTTTTAACTTATGGTTGTGAATTTAGTCTTAGGTCTAACAAATAACACAACCTAAGAATTATTCCGTACTTTGAGGAAGATATTCTTTTGGTTTTTCTTAAGGATAGAGTGAACCATAAGAGATTATCTCAGCCTTATAAGGCATGTGCTCTCGAAAAGTCGTTACATAAATATATAAGTATACTAAGTGTTAAATGACCAGCTAAATCAGTGCCCGAAGGCTGTGCTGGTTAGACAAGTCTGCAAGGAAATGGTGAAATTTCAGTCCAGTTTTGAAGAACAGGATTTGAAGGGTTGTAGAGAAAGCTGGAAGTACACTCCAAGTGGGAAGATCACTGGGAAATATACTGTCTATTATCACAGGCTTCTTCTGAAAACCACGCGGCCCCGCCCACCAGCTACTAGAGCTGATCTATCCCAACCACCTGGCACTCGCAGGTGAGGAAGCCCCTCTTAACAGCGACCACGGTTTCAGACTCCGCGCGCAGGAAACGTACAGACAGCGCCTGCCTCGCCGAGCTTCCGCTTCCGGCCCTTCAGGCTCAGTCTCTGTGGAGACGGCTTTGGGAGGGAGAAAGAGGTGGGGCCTTGCGCGAGCTGCGCAGGCGCACGGTGGGCAGCTGCAATGGCGACGCCGTGTACCCTAAACAGGTATCTGCTGCTCATGGCGCAGGAGCACCTGGAGTTCCGCATGCCGGTGAGTCCCAAGCGCCCTCCGCAACTTCCGACTGGAGAGGACGCTGGAGTGGAGTGGATGTGTGGGTGGAGGTGATCTGCATAGCTGGAGGGTGTTTGGATTCCGGGGTCTGCGCTGGTCAGGGCGGGTCAGGCGTCCCCGGTCTTCGGGCGGGGTGAGTTTGGCGGAGGGAGTGTGTGACAGAAGTCCGAGACCAAACCCTTCGGCTTCCTTAAAGGTTTTCATTCATTCTTTTGCCGGTGTGCCAAGTACCGGAGTTAGGCTGGTGAATACGATCGATTCTCTCACTCCCGGAGCTCTTCGTCTAGCGGAGGATAGAGACATCTAACAAATGTTCAGGCTGGTGTTTTAAGTGTCATAATCTGCGGATCAACTTATGGAGGGGTTGGTGGTGGGGATTAGATGATGGAGAAATTGAGAAGAGTGTTTTATTCAAGAAACCTTTCCAGGGTGCACGTAGTCGAAGATGCGTACGCTGGGCTTATAAAGATGACGTAAACAACCTCTGCCCCCTAGGAGCTTACTGTTTAGACTGAGGGCTGAGCACTTAATCGTAGAAGGACAAAATAGCGTTGGTAAGGATTAGAATTACAATTATTATTATTACTGGATCACTAGATATGTGGCAGAGAGTGGTAAGAGGAGGACAGGGGAAGTAGACAAGGGCCAGAAAATGAAAGCCTTGAATACCCTGGAACTTGGAAAGGGGATTTATTGAAGAGTTTTAAGTTAAAAAGTTATCAAAAAATTAAATCAGTTTGACAACACTATGGAGGATGGATTTGAAAAGAATAAGACTTGAGCCAGAGACTAAGAGTCTGGGGCCGGGCGCGGTGGCTCACGCCTATAATCCCAGCACTTTGGGAGGCCGAGGCGGGTGGATCACGAGATCAAGAGATCGAGACCATCCTGGTCAACATAGTGAAACCCCGTCTCTACTAAAAATACAAAAATTAGCTGGGCATGGTGGCGTACACCTGTAGTCCCAGCTACTCGGGAGGCTGAGGCAGGAGAATTACTTGAACCCAGGAGGTGGAGATTGCAGTGAGCCAAGAGCCGAGATTGAGCCATTGCACTCCAGCCTGTGTAACAAGAGCGAAACTCTGTCTCAAAAAAAAGTCTATTGGCATAGTCTTGTTAATTGATTAAGAAGGTCTCACCTAGGTTAAGGGGTAAGAAGATGGGATAGACTGAGAAAATATTTAGGTCATACGTCATTAAGGGCTGAATTGACTGAATACGTGGGAAAGGGGCAGCAGCAGATAGGACTCCTGGGTGGATATAGGTAGGAGTGTCTCCATTTAAAATAGAGAACATAGGCAGATGTAAGGTTTAACTTTTGTTTACACTGAATTTGATGTGCTCGTGTAACATCAACCTGAGATGACCAAGAGACAGTGAATATATGAATATGCATAGAGTATGGCAGAGTGATCTGGACTAGTGATAAATATTTGAGAGTCTTTTGCATATGAGAATTAGGAGAGGGGACGAAATTACTGAAAGGATAAGGTGAAAAGAGTGGTGGGCCAAGTATAGGTGCTTGGAAACGTTGATATTAAAGGAAGGTCTGAGGAGGCCTCGAAGAAGATGGGCAAGTGCCAGAAGATTGTGAGACCACAGAAATCAGAGGGTAAAATTTTAGGAAGCAGGGACAAATGGATAATGTCAAATGCAGTTGTTTTTTAGTTAGAAAAGAATGAAAAAATGTTCATTGATAGTCTCAATTAGAAGGTAATTAATTGGTTAATTTTGCTAAAGCTGGTATGTTAAGTTTTAGTGGGAGAAGCTGGGTGGCTTGGTTTAGTGGTCACTGGAAAATGAGGAAGGGGAGATAGGATAAACTGAGTGCTCTTAGCTAGAGCATAAAGGAAAGTAAGAAATGGGTTAACAGTTTGAGGGGGACCTATGGTCAAAGGAGAATTCTCCCCATGAAGAGAATTGAGCAGAGATTGAGCTTGAGTGTATTGGTAGGCTGACGGGAAGAGAGGGATAAAAGGGCATTCCTTTTCAGAAATAGAGGAAATTGGACAAAGAAAGTTAGGGTGGGTGTTGAGTGGTTACCCGAGGGCCTGTTTTCTAGGTAATGAATGAGTGGAAGTTATTTCTTGAGAGATGATGGGCCAGCAGTTGAATGGGGAAATTGAGACAAATAGTAAAACTTGAAATAGTCATTGAGAGCAAAGGGGAAAGTTGACAAGGAGGAAAACGATTGAGTGGAGAAGAACATAGGTATTACAGCAATGCTGAAAACCAGCTGAAGGTGAAGTTCTCAGATCTGTAAACATGCTAAGATTCTGTGATTTTCTTCAGTTGTGTTGAACACATTGGCCTTAGGAGTCATGAAGGAAGATTGTGGCATTGATTCGGTATTAATGTTCTGAGATTCATGGAGGAAGTAATTTTTAATTAAGTCTTAATTGACAAAGGATATGTTCTGTTGGTGAAGAGGATTGTAAAGACCACTTTTGTGAGAAACAGAATCAGACTTACAGGCACAGAAATGTGATTGGTTATGAGGTTTGGGGAGGAAGGATGAAGTAGTGGGCATTGAGGCCAGAGAGGTGGTAAGATCTAGATTTGCACGTGTTTTGACATTATTCCAAGGAGTTTGGATTTTCAGATTTAATGGGGAGCCACTGCCTTTTTTACATTTTAAGCCAGGAAGTGACAAGATCATTTGTGTTTTAGAAAGATAATTCTGAAGTACCAGAGAAAAGATCCCACTTAGAGAATACTGGAGTAGAACTAGAGAGGCTCAGGAGTGTGACTGCCTAAAGTAAGGCAGTGCAGTGACAATGGAGTGGTTGGACTGTGGCCTCCAGAATAACAACCCGACTACTTGGTGATTTTTACTTTTTCTTTCCATTGTAAATTCTTAGTGCATTACCCTTGTGCCAGTTTATTCTTCCAAAAACTCTGTTCTGTTTTACATTTTCGTTCTTCTTAAGATGAAAATCTTTAGTCAGGCATTCCAGGTCTAAGATTGCATGGTTCTCTCCTTTGTGCTCTCACTTCCCACCTAGTCCTTAGTGGGGCCAAAACTGACTCATTATTCCCTGAATTCCTGCTTTCACTTTTGCTCCCCGTGCTCCCTTTAGTCTGGTTTGGGTCTTTCCCGTTCTTTGATCTATTGTTTCTTACATAGTAAGTATTCCTTTAGAGTTAAGCACATATTTATTTCTTTTAGCTTTATATGTTTTACATGATTCTTTTTCAGATCCACAATTTCCTTTTTGTAGTTTTTCCTCCTTTGCCAAAATTCTAATTTTTTCTTTAATCCCCTTCAATATGGAAAGTATAATTACATTAAAGTATAAGATAAAAGAGATCCTTTGGGTCTGTTTCTGTTGTTTCTTTTGGTTCTCTTTCATATGTGTGCTGGGCTGTTTTTTAAATATATGCCAGATGTTGTATTTGAAAATCTATTTGAAAAAATAATAGGAGGTCTGGGATGATGTACATCCTCTTGAAGAAGATAGGAACTCGTAGGAGCATGAGGAGTCTAGGATTGGTTTAACTCATTCTCAGGCGCTAAGCTCTGTTTGTATTCTGATTCCCACATACTCACCGGGTGTAGCTTTTTGACATCCTAATGTAAACTAGGTGGTTCATCAAGTATCCTTTTCTCCCCCTGGGTGGCCCTTTTTTCTTTTCCCCTTTCCATCTGGCAAGTGCCTGTTTTTGAATTGGTAAATGTCTCAGGGAAAAAGTGACTCCACCTTGGAATTTTTGCCCTCTCCTGGATATTGGTTTGGTAATTTTTGTTATCTTTCTATGCTTTCAGTTACATGGCCAGCTTTTATAGTTCTTTGTAGCAGGAGGCTTTTACCTCTTTTGCCATCCCTGCAAGTTGAATTCTTCTGTCATTGAGTTAGATTTTTTTCAGGGATTAAGTCAGTTTCCATGAAACCTTACTTCTCAAACTGAAGTAAACTTTTACTCTCTTGTACTCTAATATTTTTTTGCTTTTACCTCTTTAACAACATGTACTGTTTTACACTTTACGTTTCAGTTGTGAGGTTGTGTTGTTGGTTCTACTAGACATTAATTTCCCTAAGATAAATGTGTATGTATTTTTGCATAACTCCGTGACTTGCACATATTAGTGGCTTAAAAAAATTTTTTTTTTTTTGAGACAGTTCTGTTTTCCAGGCTAGAGTGCAATGGCATGACGATCACTGCAGCCTCAAACTCCCAAGTTCCAGCCATCCTCCCACCTTAGCTTCCTGAGTAGCTGGGACCACAGGTGCACCACTATGCCTGGCTAATTTTTTAATTTTTTTTGTAGTGACCGGGTGTTGATCAGAGACTGAGGGTGAGTGTGGGCGGGGCATCTCACTTTCTTGCCAGGGTGGGTCTCGGACTCCCGGTCTCAAGTTACCTCTTCGCCTTGACCTCCCAAAGTGCTGGGATTGCAGGTGGGAGCCACCACATCTGGCTGCTTAAAATACTTTAATCAGTGCTATAGGATCCCTTCTGGGGAAGGCAATCAAAGGACAGTCTACACTTTTGGGTCCATCTACTTCATTAGAACTGATAAGCAAGGAAGGTCTAATGAATGGCTGCCTTTATGAATTAAAATGAGAGATTAGGAATATAAGTGTGGTCCAGTTTTACCTCTGATAGAGTTAATCAGGGCCAATTATAGTTGGCAGCTACTTAATATAATACTTACTGTATTAAGTAATGTTTACTAAAGGTCAAACACCTGGGTTTTATTGCTTGTTCTGAAGCAACCTTTTAAATGAATGAAAAAGCAAGTAGCTGAAATAACAGAAAAGCTCGCGGATTAATGCATCACACCTGCCCCAGATCATGCCACATTTTTATATCTGAAGTTCAATATAAATTCTTTTTTATTCCTAATGTAGAAAGAGTCTCAACTGGAAAGTTGAATTTGCCATAAGATTAATGAACATTTTGTGTTTTGCTTTTTCCAAGTAGGTTGATGCAGTACTTTAAACATGTTTTGCTTTTCAATTTGAAACTTGTGTTATCCATTTATTCTCAGTTTTAGGTGGCTGCTAAGTTTTGGGTAGTAGAGATAATGCTATGCCATAAAACTTTAATCTTTCACTTTTTTCCCCTGCCTAACTCTTAGGATCTTTGTGTTTTAACCTATTGCAAATTTTTAACAGTATATTCTGGGAGCAGCAAACTTTGGTGTCTTAACTTGGTTGTAGTTGGATTTTGTTTTTTGTTTTTTTTGAGACAGAGTTTCGCTCTTGTCACCCAGACTGGAGTGCAATGGCGCGATCTTGGCTCACCGCAACCTCCGCCTCCTGGGTTCAGGCAATTCTCCTGCCTCAGCCTCCTGAGTAGCTGGGATTACAGGCACGTGCTACCATGCCCGGCTAATTTTTTTGTATCTTTAGTAGAGGCGGGGTTTCACCATTTTGACCAGGATGGTCTTGATCATATAACCTCGTGATCCACCCGCCTCGGCCTCCCAAAGTGCTGGGATTACAGGCTTAAGCCACCACGCCCGGCCTGTAGTTGGATGTTTTAAATATAAAGCTGACTTAGCAATATGCTTTAATATAGAACAAACCACCATCATGCAGAATCAAGTAACTTAATCTATAACTTTATTTTTTTCTTTTAAGTGTTATAACTCTGTCAGTCTTGGTTGACTTCTTGATTCCCTTAATAACTGCCTAGGTTCTGTGCTTCTCTCTTTAAAGTTCACTTAAACTGATGAGATAGCTATGATTCCTGTTTGACATTTGAGGGAACGAAAGTTGGAGGATTTAAGATTCTTGTATCAAGCCACATTGCTAGTATTTGGAAGATTTGAAAATCAGATTATGGTCTATTTGACTTCTAAATCTCATGATGTCTCGTATTCAGATTTGTGTTTTCTGTGTTGCAAAATAACCTTTGGGCTGCCTTCACTGATTTGCCAGTAGTCTGTGATAGTTCTTGGTGGATCCGTCTGATTGGACTCAATTCAGCCCCTTCTAACACTGAATTAAAAACAATGATTTGTTGCATAGACAAAGAAAAATAGAAATGGCGCTAGCAGCTTGAACTTCTCATTCATTTCGATCTTGGAGTGGGAGATTTGCTGGTCTGGGTATATTTTCCCTTTTGATGGCTGTACCTTATAGTGAGTGGGTTTGGTGTTAAAGGCTTTTCCTTCTGGTTGGGAGGAAAGGGGATAGTAGGTAGCCAGCAGTAGGATACTTACCTCTCATTAGGTTATGTTCTCCATAAGACCCATACAGAGGAGTGTGATTCTACCTGTTTTATGTGATTTAAGGAGATAACTTTTTAGTCATACAAATTGTAAAGTTTGTGTAATTATTTGGGTTTATCAGTACAAAGTGATTGCTTCAAATAATATAAACACTATCTGGACACATGTCAACTTTGCATGCATTATGCTTTTAAAGTATCTATTATGTTAGTTCTCTTTCTAGTTCTGTAATTTTATGCAGAAAGGCGGAAGTTAACTTGGTGTATTTGTGGTTAATGAATACACAGCGATATGCCCTGGCCGATTATTTTTTAATTTCCAAACATCTTCAAATGATTTGTTTAATTTTCATTTTAATTTTGTTCGTCAAGTGTCAGACTTACTTATCTGCACTTTGTGTAATCTGTTTTTTTCCTTTTCAAAATCAGGGCATTTTCTAATCAAGTGTTTGGTAACTCTTCTATTGTCTAAAATTTCTCAGAAATTACTTGTGGTTTTTACTGTTAGATTTTTTTTTAAAAATTTTTTATTGCATTTTTAGGTTTGGGGGTACATGTGCAGAACATGCAAGACAGTTGCATAGTTACACACATGGCAGTGTGTTTTGCTTTCTTTCTCCCCTTCACCCACATTTGGCATTTCTCCCCAGGCTATCCCTCCCCACCTCCCCCTCCCACTGGCCCTCCCCATTTCCCCCCAATAGACCCCAGTGTTTAGTACTCTTCTCTCTGTGTCCATGCGTTCTCATTTTTCATCACCCACCTATGAGTGAGAATATGCGGTGTTTCGTTTTCTGTTCTTGTGTCAGTTTGCTGAGGATGATGTTCTCCAGATTCATCCATGTCTACTGTTAGATTTTTTTCTGAATCCTAAATTGTGATTGTCTGATGTTGAAGCTTAAATGCCTCAGTTAGCTCATCAGTCTATTCTTTTTTTTTTAGTCATGTAATTACTATCTCCCATAGTAGATTTTTAGCTCCTTTTGTTAAAATGTATTTTCTCTGTAATATTTTCAATATAGGAAATAAAGTCTTTGCTTTCACTTTTTGGAGGTCAGTTCGCCAGCACTCAAGAAACTTATGGAAAGGTAAGTTAAATTTTCATTAGACCATGTAGAGTATACTTAGAAATAGAGCTTGGGTTTGAAGAGAAGTGCGTATGTTAAATTTATATTTGTGTAGTTACTTGTATTTGTTTTAGAGGCAATGGACTAAACAGGATATTTTGGGAAAAATTGTGGTTTTGTTAAGCAATTTAGATTAAGTTCTAGTTTTTTATTTGTTTTAAATTTTCAATCAACAGTTGGTCATAATTTGTATCTGTCTTTTCACTTAAAAAAGGTCTGTCCTCCATTGGTGAGTTGTGTTTAGAATTAGAATTTAGCAGAGTTTTGGACTCATTGAGAATCATTTTAAAATTTGAAATTGTGCATTGTGTAAGACTGAGTTTATGAGCTTTGTATTTTGCATAAAACTGTAGTTTATCAGTGCATTACAGAAGTTTGGAAAACAGAAAAAGAAAAAATAATTTGCAGTTCTTCCTTGACATGACTTACATTTTGCACACTGCCTTCCAGTGTTTTTTTCATGTACTTTTGTCCCCCTGTTGTAATTCTACTTCTGCAGCTTGTGTTTCTCACCTGATAGTGTCATTAAAGGCATAAGTTGTTACTTGGCCTTTTATCTCTAACATAGCTACGTCATATTTTTTGTTGATTAGCTCTACCATAATTAATTTAACCATTTCATTTTATTCAGGTTGCTTTAAAAACTTTCCCAATAAAAGTAATACTAAGTGATAATAGTTTTTCCTGTTTGGATTATTTTGAATTTTCTGTCAGGGAGGGTAAATATTATAAGAAAAAAGATGGGGAGTATATACCCAAAGTAATGTAATTCGTTCTGTTATAAAGATACATGCATGCATATGTTCATTGCAGCACTATTCACAGTAGCAAAGCATGGGATCATCCTAAATGGTCATCACCGATAGACTAGATAAAGAAAATGTACGTATACACCATGGAAGCCACAAAAAGAAATAAGATCATGCTACTGTGCAGCCATAGAAAGGAACGAGATCATGTTGCAGGGACATGAATAGAGTTGGAAGCCATTATCCTCAGCAAACTAATGCAGGAACAGAAAACCAAACACCACGTGTTCTCACTTAAAAGTGGGAGCCAAATGATAACATATGGGCACGTCCAAGGGAAGCAACACACACTGGAGCCTGTTGGGGGTGGTGAGACCGGGGGAGGGAGAGCATCAGGAAGAATAGCTAATGGATGCTGGGCTTAATACCTAGGTGATAGGATGATCTGTGCTACAAATCACCATGGGACACATTTACCTGTGTAACAAACCTGCACATCCTACACATGTACCCCTGAACTTAAAAGTTGGAAAAAAAAAAGACTGGGTGTGACAGGAAGGATTTCTTGCAAAAGATGAAAGAGCTTAAGTTGGAAGTCCTGTGGTGTTGGACTTTTATTCCTAAAGGACTTTCACTTAGGGGAGGAGGAAAGGAAGGAGAGTTCGGATATAATTGGCTAGAGGTGATGAAATGAGGTCAGGATCCTTTCGGATTTTTGCTGTGTTCTGGCAAAAGGTTATCTGGGTGCAGTTTACCAGTGTCTGTAATCTTGGGTGTTGGGATAGAGAATTGGGAAAACACCCTGGATGCACTGGGAACTTTTTACTCCTAGACAAAATATAAAGTAAAAGTTAATGAGAATTTGACAGTGTAAGATTTTCCATCATAGTTGTTTCAAAGGGCCCCTCCTTCACCCCTCAGATGGCTACAGCTACCTAGAAAAAAAGGTCTAATTTAGCAGCTAAGAAATGCATTACTTAGAAATTAGAAATAAAATACCTGTATTATAAGGAATGATTAGCCTTGATGAATTTCAAGATTATACTTTGGTATATAATATGCCTTAATTCCTTTAGTAAAGCTACATAAAAGGGCAAATACAAAAGTAATCTTTAATTTGCAGTTATATTCGTTTATAGGGTCATTAAAAAACATTTTTACCATATTTTTCTAATGGACTTTTTTACTATTGGAATGATTTTTGTTTTGGTTGCAGTCAGGTCAGTATTCTTACATGAAAGTAGCAAATAGGCGCTTCTCCTTATTGACTTGAATAAAAGCGTGTGAGGCTTTGAGCCACTTACAATTGAGCTGCATATTGTTATTTCTTTCAGTCACCATTTTGGATTCTTAGCATTCCCTCTGAAGATATTGCAAGAAATTTAATGAAACGGACAGTGTGTGCCAAGTAAGAGAAACTGATATTGTCCTGCATGAATATACTGGTACTTCCGTTAACTACTCTGTCCAGTTGGCATATACTGTGGAGGCTTAGTTTAGCTTGCAGTTACATACAACCGCCACTGGGTGGCGGTGGGGGACCAGAGGAGACTTACCTGCTGAAACCAAGGAGGAAAAAGAATCTCTGGGGAACTGTAGACACATTTGTTTTAGAATAATTTTTTTGACCTTCCATATTATGTGGGAGTATAGTATGAGATATAAACATTATGTTCTTACGTAGGATAAATGCCACATATAATTATAACCAAAGTGCTGAAAATCCAAAAATGCATTTCTCTTAGATGGCTTTTAATTGGATGAGCAGATTAGTGAAGTGTCAGGTAACAAAAAGCGAGGACTGCCATAAAATATGTTATACCATTTCAGTTGGTAGAGAAAAGAATTGGTAGAATATCACATCTTGGTACGAATTAATGTGATTATGCTGTTCGTTGTTTATCCTCAGTGTTTCTAGATTTTATCATTGGCATCTGCTCTTTTATTCCATTTCTTTTTTTTTTTAATATTGGAAAATTTTCTGTCATCAGATTTGAATATTAAACTGTATTTTTAACTAATGTCTAAGATCGAACAGCTGGCGTTATCTTTAAGCTGCTTTCTCTTCCTGAACATTTTGGCAGATTGCTGAAAACTTTCTTTTCCTTAGAGATTATATTTGCTAATGCAGTGCAAATAAGAAATTACATAGATCTAGTTTTATTAACATGGTTAGCTGTGTTTTATATAGTCATATGTAATTGCTGTATTATGGAATTGAATACAGCCCTATGTTTAGTTAACTTCATCCTATTGAGAACTACTTGCACCCTTTAATCTTTTATAGTGACGCTTGTTAACAGGTTTTATGAAATAAAAATGACTAGAAAACAGAAACATAACTTTTAAAAACTCTTTGAATAATTGCTTGTTAGGTTTAAAATAGCCACTGGAATACTAAGAACTTGTATGCTTCTTTCAAAGCTCTTCTAATTCATATATTTGATTAATGGTACAATTAATAATTGTATAATATACAATTTTTAATTGCTTTTTACTATCTATATTTTGTGTAGCTGAGGTATACTTTAAATGATGGCTAAGTGAGATTAGTATGATTTTAGAAGCATTTTCTCTGTAAATTCAACAGAAAAGGAAGAATTCATTTGCAAAGGATAAAATTCACAATTTAATTGTGCCAGAACAAAGATAGACATTTATAAAAGCATAGATTCAAAATCAACTTAAATTGAGATTTTTCTCTGGTAGCAGGGGATTGAAAGTTAATTTATTTTTAACATGAAATATTTTGAGCATGCCACAAAAGAGTGAAAAATATAACAATATACCTTATTAGATCTTAACATTTTGGGTAACTTAGTTACTAAAATCGTGTGTGTGTGTGTGTGTCTCTGCATGTTCATGTGCATGCATGACAGAGTCTCACTCTTGCCCAGGCTGGAGTGCGGTGACATGATCATGTCTCCTTTTAGTATCAAACTCCAGGGCTCAGCCTCCCAAGTAGCTGGGACTACAGGTGTGTGCCACCGTGCCTAGCCAATGTTTTGCTTTTTTTGTAGGTTTTGCTATGTTGCCCAGGCTGGTCTTGAACTCCTGGACTCAAGTGATCCACCTCGGCCTCCCAAAGTGCTGGAATTACAGGCATTAACCACTATGCCTGGCCAGCTAAATATTAATGACATTTTTATCTGGTCATTAGTCTTTGTATTATGGAGAAGACATTGGGAAAAATTGGCTTTTCCGTGGCTTTTTCCCCACTTATCTAAAATAACTGAATTTAGTGTCTCATTTGTTCTAGTCTAAAAATATGAAAACTTGAAAAATATCCTGACTTACTGAATTTCCTTCTTGCCATGTCAAGTTCAACTTTATGTGTGATTTGGCTTAAGTTATATTTGTTTCCAGGATATATAGTTTTCATTTATACTGTACAAAACATAGACAATAATTAGTGGAGTGGGCATAAAGAACTAGTGAAATGACTGTATGTGTTACTGTGTGAACTAAGTTCTTTACTGAGGTTAGTACCAATCATTTATTTCCTAGGGCTATATTTGAACTATGGGGTCATGGACAATCTCCTGAGGAGCTGTACAGTTCTCTTAAAAATTATCCTGTGGAGAAGATGGTGCGTAATAAAATGTGGTTTTATATAGGCATGTGTGCAGATTCTGTAGAACTACAATGCTCAAAAAACTTATTTCCTTTTAGGTTCCATTTCTACATTCAAACTCTACATATAAAATAAAGATTCATACTTTCAATAAGACATTGACACAAGAGGAGAAAATCAAGCGAATAGATGTAAGTAAATTTAGCAAAACAAAAAACCTACATGATGAGTGCAGTCTAGCCATTGTTGATATATAAGAATACCCAATGTCTGCTGTTTATTTTGTACCACACTTTGTGCTAAGTGCTTTTCATGTTTTATTTAATGTTGACTCCAGACTTAGAAGTTAATGTTATTAGATAAGCGCCATTTTTCCTTATAAATTTTTATAAGACATTAGCATTTCTTTTATTTTTTAGGCACTTGAATTTCTGCCATTTGAAGGAAAAGTAAATTTAAAGAAACCACAACATGTATTCTCTGTTTTGGAGGATTATGGTTTGGACCCAAACTGCATCCCTGAGAATCCACATAATATTTATTTTGGTAGATGGGTGAGCAAGTGTTCTTTCTACCTATGTCAATTTGTTTTTTTGAAAGCTACATATTAGTCCTTTGTATTTGACTCATATGTGGAACTATAAAGCAGCTAAATAGTACTGTAAGCTAAAGAGTCAGAATCCATAAAATTGGTGAAGAGTGTGATTATGTTTTGTTTTGGTTTTTCCCAGAGATCTTTTGGAGTGCAAGAGGCTTGTCAGGTATAGGGAGGAGGTGGTATACCTGGAAATGTTAAAATAAGACTTAGTGGAAAATCTGGACTGATTTTTTTTTTTTTTAATCAGAGAAAACACGGTGCTCTGGTAGTTGCGGGATCTCATTTGTGGAGATTTCCAATCTGGGTCTTCCATTCCAAAAGAAATGAAATTACTGTAGAGCAGTTCTGTCAACTTCTCCGGCTTTAAGTGGGTGATTGGAAGCTGTGAGTGAAAGTTGTGACTTAATGTTAGAAATTATTGTTATGTAGGAGAACAAAGAAATGGACATACCTTAGCAACTACCTCTGGAATAATTGCATTTGAATTCAGTTCATACTTGTTTTGAAAAGACAAAGTAAATGGAATGACATTAAGAAACAAAAGGTTTTGTCCATAACAACCTCAATTACATTATTTTAAAGAAATAAGTTTAAAGCAGTGATAAGTGGAAAGAAGTTCTTATCAGTGAAATATAATGGTCTTATTGTGAGTGATTATCTTAAGTTTGTTCTCTATGACTGTACTAACTTGAGAAATATCTCTGATTTAGATTGCAGATGGACAGAGAGAGCTTATTGAGTCATACAGTGTCAAAAAGAGACACTTTATTGGAAATACAAGTATGGATGCTGGTTTGTCATTCATTATGGCTAACCATGGAAAAGTGAAAGAAAATGATATTGTCTTTGATCCATTTGTTGGAACAGGTATTTTTATTTAACTTTTAAGCTAGTGTAGAGGTGTTGCTTATTTATATTAATGAAGATCATGGTAATATTTTTGCTAAAAGAGTAAATGGATCATCTTTTAATTATGTTTGGATAGTGGCCAAAAGACAACCACATACTTGTGTATTAGCTAGTATTTAACACTTTCATCACTTCAAAGATGATGCTGATAGAATTGTATGGGTTTTATTCCAGGTAAACTGCTAGCAGGGATCATCTGTCTAATTTTTTTGTAGCAGAAAAATTTGCAACACCACATTGTAGAAATGCCATAAAGCCGTATAGTTTATTTTAATAGGAAAACTCTTGGTGAAAGACAGACTTGAATGACAAGATCAAAAAAATGTATTCATCCATGTTTAAGTTAATAACCATATATGTGGATAGAGAAAAATAGTTAATATATCCTATCTTTGAGTTGGTTTGTGGAGGTTTATAAGTAAGTGTGAAAATAAGAAAAATGTGTTAAGTATCAATGGTCTAGAGCCTGGTGGCTATGGCAGTGACCTTGGTTTTTTGTGCATATGACTGGGATAATTTTATATGGAAGTCCTAAAACTCCAAGTCATCTGACTCTGTGCAGACTTTCCTACTTCCATTCAGTTTTGCTTGATTTTACCCATACCTAGCAAATACTTGTATTTAAGTTTGGCCAAACTCATTTTATGGCTCACTTTGTGGTTGGAGCCTCTCCCTGTAGCCATCTTTCCTCATGAGCAGTGATAATGCAGAGCTAACATTTATTGAATAGTAAATGTATCAGGTGCTATGCTGGGCACTTTGATGTTGCTATCTAGTTTAGTTCTTAGAACAACTAACATGGAGATACATGAGGAAATTATGGCACAGAGAGAGGTGAATGGCCAAGGTTATACAGTATATTGGTTTCATTGGATTCAATCTTAAGCAGTCCGACTCCAGACCTCATGCTCCTGTCTTAGAGCTGTCTCTCTGCATTAGGATCTGCCAACCAACTATTACAACATGTACTAACTTAAGGAATATGACCACATATGCTTAGAAAGAAGTAGTAAACAAAGTCAAGACATTTCTCACTGATAGCATGACTTTCTCTGTTTGTTGTGAGTCTGTGCCAGTTTCTCCATGTCACTCACCCTCAGCATACTCTATATCCTTTTCTTCCCCACCCTCATTATCCTAAGTACCTCTCCCCAAATTTTAAACTTTTTATTGAAAATAATATCAAACTTTGAGAGAAGTTACAATAATAAAAGCAGAACAAAGAACATCTGTGTATCCTTAATTTAAGCTGTTGTTAACATTTGGCCTCATTTGCTTTATTATTTGTTCTATTTGTTTATATTTACATAGTATTTTCTTTCCTGCATCATTTGAAAGTTGTATCCATCATAGCCCTTTACCCGTCAAGTACTTATTTCTCAAGAATAAGGCTGTACTTATTTCAGGCTGTACTTACGTTTTCAATGTTAATAGATGTATTAATACAGTACTTTGATATTCATATTCCAGTCTTGTCAGTTGACCCAATAATAATGTTTTTGATAGCATCCTTTTCCCCTTCCTGGCTAGGATCAGGTATTATATTTTGTTGTTAATATGTCTTTGATTTGGACCACAGCCAGAGTTTCTTTTTCTTTTATGAAATTTGCACTTTTCAAGAAGGTATTTCTCTTCCCTTTATTTTTTATCTAAATTGTTCCTTATTTTGGGTTGTTTGATGTTTCCTCAAGATTAGGGTTAGGTTATACATTCCCAGCTGGACCGCTCATCAGTGATTTTGTGTCCTTTTCGGGTGTGTACATGATGGCATTCTGCCCTGCATGGGTATTGGTAATTGTGATCATCTGGTCAAGGTGGTGTTTGATTGTTTTCACTCATAATCATAAATAGTGCAATCACTGTTTTTTGTTTGTTATTCTTGCTATTAAGCAATCTGTGGAGAGACACATTAAGACCGTGTAGTATTCCATTCCTTATCCAAATCTCCTCTTACCACTCAGATTACCAAGTTTAGTAGCCATTGATAATTTTTTCCTGAACCATTCTTTTCTTGGATGGTTTGAAAGGGATGGTTTTCCAACTCTAGTGCTCCCTCCACAGTTACAAGTCAACATTCCTTATTCTACTGTAAGCAGGAGCCCTTTCCTCTCTTCGGTGTATTTGTTTTTCTATTTGTTTTCAATATGAACTAGTGTGTTCTCCTTTTTAACCAAGGGTCTATAATTCATTACATTTCTTAAGTTTCTTAATTACTTTTGTTGCTCAAATTGTGATTTGCCTAGTGAGAGCTCTTTCACATTGAATCTATATTTGTGACATGTTCCTATCCATTTTTCATTTGAATACATCCTTCCTTTCTCTTCTATTTGTTCAAGCTCTGATATCAATCATTTCTCCAAGGAATTTTTGTTTCTTTTAGTGGGGAGATGAGATCTGGATTATAGATACTTTCAGTGGAGAAACTAGAAAATATATATGCATATGTACACAATATAGATGTAAGTGAATATGCAAATATACTTGTATATGTTCCTGTATACTCTGTGTAATGCATGTACACGGGCATATACATATTTTAGACATTGTGAGTTTGTACATACACTACAAATTGTCATCAGTCTTTACAGATTTCTTTTTGACTACCCTATTCAGTGTCTATATGCACCTTCTTCCACAGTGAGAACCCTGGTTCTTATCTACATCAACGCGTTTACTCTTTTTCTCATACCTATCTATATCTGAAATAGTTTCACAGTTGTTTTGCCTATGCCACTTAAAAAAATCCTATGAATAAGAGTTCAGGATATGTTTTCAGTTCTTTACCCTAAGAGGTGATAAACTCAAACACTGTGCCTGCTTTTTCTCTTTTCATTTAAAATTCATTTGGGTTAATTTGTTCAGCTTGCCCTCTGTTTTAGGTTTTTATCCCCATCCCACATTCCTTGTTGATTTACTTTTATTTTCAGATATGTGTAAGATGAACTTGCTTCCAGAAAGTCAGAACTATGCAAGAAGTGGTACTCAGAAGTGTCACTTAACTTTTATAACCCTTCCAGCCTGTTCTCCCACCTCTCCTAGGTGACTAACTTCATTGTTTTCTAGTTGATTCTTCCTGTGTTTCTTTTTGTGATGATAAACATTTTCTTATTTCCACTACTTTCTTACACAAAAGGTAGTATGTATGTTGGTTTTAACTTTGCTTGTTTCACTTAATAGTATTTCCTGGAAATCACATCCTGTCAGTTCATGGAGATCTTTATTCTTTTTTAGTTTTGCTCCATGAGTATATGTACTGTAATTTATTCAAACAATCTCCTATAGTTAGACATTGGTAGTTTTCAGTATTTTACAGTTACAAATAATGCTTGTAATGACTAACCTTATGAATATATACCTTTGTAATGTTGGAGGCGTAGCCCTAGGGCAAGCTCGTCCAACCTGCAGCCTGTGGACCACATGCAGCCCAGATGGCTTTGAATGCGGCCCAACACAAACTTGTAAAGTTTCTCAAAACATTATGAGAATTTTTGCAATTTTTTTTAAAGCTTATCAGCTATCATTACTGTTAATATATTTTATGTATGGCTCAAGACAATTCTTCTTCTTCCAATGTGATCCAGGGAAGCTAAAAGATCGGAACCCCCTGTCCTAGGGTAAATTCCTACAAGTATGATTTCTGGGTTGAAGAGCATATGCCTATGCAATTTCATTAGATACTGCCAAATTTGTCTCCATTATACTCTTTTGGATTCCTACCAACAATTGTAGGAGAGTCCCTGTTTTTCCACAGTCTCACCAGCAGAGTATATTTTCAAGCTTTTGAAGTTTTGCCTGTTCTGTTGGGTGAAACATGGTATCTCAGTGTAGTGTTAATTTGTATTTCTGTGGTTATGAATGAAGTATAACAACTTTTTATATTTTAAGGGCCATTATGACTTTTTTTTGAATTGTCTTTTATGTCTTTTGCCCATTTTTTGATAGCATTTTTGGTCTCTTCCCCCTCATTTTTCAAGGTCCTTTGTAAGTTTGGGATACAGCCCCCTCATACTCCCCCTCTTTTTCTGTGATGTATGTGCAAGTATTTTACCTTAGCTTGTCATTTATCTTTTGACTTTGCTACTAATTGATTTTTGCCATGCAAAAGTTTTCCCCACACTCAAGTTATAGAGGAATTAATTAGTGTTTTCTTCTAGTACTTTTGTAGTTTTACACTTTTTCTTTTTCGATCTCTGGTTCATTTGGAGATTGTTCTCTTGTATGATGTGAAAAATGGATCTAATTTATCTTTTTTCAAATGCGAAAGCTTTTATTCTTAATCTTGGGTTTTAAAGGCTTTTTCGGTCAATTGAGAAGAATTCTTTTAGCTATATACATGAACAAAACAATTAATATATATTCATACATATAGACTAGACCACAGAATTTAAAAATATGGTTGCCAATATGGATAATATTTTTTGTTGAATAGATGAGACTAGGTATATTTTGAAATTATCTTCATAGCTGTCAATATGTGGACCATTTGTAGTGTTTTGAGGGGCAAGGAGACCTGTTTCTGTTTCCTTGAGGGCAGCTTTTCACATTATGTGGTATATTTGGATCATCTGACTATTCATATAAGACAATTAATGGAAAATGAGAGGAGGATCTTTGCAAAGGTGCTGCTAAAACACATTTTATTAATTTGTGTTTGTAGTTTAAATATAGCTTTAGGACGTCAGTCAGTTTTTGGTGTTTTGTTTTGAAATTTAATAACCAGTAATTGTGAATAGATGAAGATCTTAAACAGTTTGTCCTCTCTTGGGCCTTTTGCCTCCCTGATGAGTAGTACCTTCTGAAGGATTGGAGAAATATGTAGCTCTGTGCCCTCCTCCATGACCATAGTTTTCACAGTATTTGTTGATATTTTTTTTTTGGGTTGCCTTTTAAAATACCTTTTTAATAAAATGCCCGTGCCTAATCCCCTTCTTAAAGTTACAAAATTGAAATGTATGTAGTTTCCCAAATGCATTGCCCACTTACTACTCGTGCTTCGTGGTTTTTCTCATGGATCTAGAGTAGAGTTGAAAGCTTCTGGGAGACTGAAAGGAAAAATATAGCTTTTTCCCGCCTAAGTACCTTTCCTTTTTTCTTTTAGACTGTTTGCTACTGTTTAGAATGACATTATGAGTGGCAGAAATACATTTTTCTTTCTATTTTAATAAATGCATTGGTTTTCATTTTAGTAAGATTCTTTTTAATTGTGTGTATTTGTCTCCACTTTCCCAAAGGGGGAGAGACATAGCATTGTGTCAGCTCTCAGTTGTTAGGAATTGCTACTATTCTGTTGTGAGTTTGTTGTGAATTGACAGAATACCTATTAATGGCACAGCCCTGTCTGTGATACAGTACAAGACTTGTGAATGGCATATATAACACTCGTATTAACACAGTAGGTAGCTTCACTTAATTTAATATAATTTGTGTACTAACATACTTTGCTTTTGTTTATCTAATTGGTGAGTGAATATGTATTGATTTCAATTGGTGCTAATCCCAAAGGAGGTAGTATGATAAAAAGAAAACAGAGCAAAGTTTAAATCCTTTTACCAATTAGTATTTCTGTGACTTTGGGCAAGATTCTTAACTTGTCTGGGTTTCAATTCTATCATTTGTAAAATGGTAATAGCAATATATTGTGAGGATTAAGTGAGGCAATATGCATATCCTAATATTTCTAGGAAGTTGCCTGACACATGGTAGACAGTGAACTGTAATGGTTATCATTACTACTTACCAGTTATTATTTCGATAAGATTTTAGATGCCTTTTTGGTGAAAGATGTTAGACATAGCTAATATTAAATGGTGATGATGAAGAATTTGAACATAAACTCATTTTTTAGTATTCTTTTTGGCTAATTTCAAAGATACTAATAATTTGTATCTGTTGGCAGGGGATAGCAGCAGACAGGGACATTGAAATGTAAAATTATAAATGTCTAATTCTTTGTTTATAATTAAAATAATATGTACAAGTATATGCCAGTTGCTTTAGGTAGCACAGAGCTCTGCAGCCATAGTGCTGATTCCCTCTCATCCTCTCTGTCAAGTGAGTCAGCTCCTCCAGTAATGACAGTTCACTGGGGAGACTAATGTATACTCGTTGGCCATGTCTACCTTCAGATGACCCATAAGTGTAAGGAAAGTAGTGTAGCTCCTTTTGAAGTTTTATCATTGCAAAATAGTGGACACAGGAACCAGGTGTTAGGAAACTGACTATTCCTGGTTCTAGGAAGAGAAAATGGGGAGAAAAAGAGAAAGAAGAGTGAGGTAATGGATCTCTAGGTTTGTGTAGTATTCTGTTTCCCATTTTTTCCCGCTATGCTTTGTAGTCCCCTCTTCCTGGAATCTCATGGTTTGTCTAGTAGGAATCCCATTGTCTAGCAGTATTCTTTTGCTCAGCCTGCTAGTTTAATTTATTTAAGTGAAATTTTTTTTTTTGAGAAAGATAAAATAGATGCAATAATACTGCCGTTTTTCTTTCTTTTTTTTTCCTCTCAGCAAAACCAAACCCCGGTCTCTCATTTTCCCACATTTGCAAAGCTTTCCACTTAGTTCTGTAAAGATGAAAATAATAAATAATTTTTTATATCTTAGAATAAATTCCAATTATTCTTGTATTCTTTTGCCTGTAAGATATTAGCCTAACCTTAAAGTGCTTACAATTTAAGTAATGAGAAATTGAAACACTGAGTTGCTAGTATACATCACATAGGCAGTATGTTTACTTTTCAAAACGTAAAAATAAATGGATGAGTCATGTTACTTGCCTCCTTGACACTTCACTCTCCTTTTTAGTACCCCTTCTTCCACCAAAAAGCCTCCCCCAAAAAACTCCAACTGAGGTATAACTAAATGTCAAAAGTCCTTCATTTTAATCAAAAGAACAACTAGCTGACTACCAGTGATTAGCCAGTGACCAGTTCAGAGAAGCTAATTTATTATGATTTAATTTTTAAAAAAAGCTTAAAAGGCACAAAGTTAACTATCAGTTATAGTCTAACAGATTATTCATCTCCTTTCAGCAGTGTACTTGTAAATTGGGTCTTCTCAAAACTCACTCTAACCAAATGGATAAGGTTCTGTTTAAGGAAGCACAGGAAAGCTTTTCTGTTCCCCTTGACAACTAGTTCTTCTAGGTGAGTATCTGCCTTAATTGGCAGAATTGTAGTACTTCCTTGTAATTTGGGTGAAGTGACTTTGTGAGTATTCCAAGTCATCACATATGCTGCCTTTCCTAAATATGGAGTGTTCCATTTCCAGAGTAAGAGTCACGAGGACTTTTTAGCCTTCCTTCTCACGTGAATGCTTTTTGTAGTTGGTATGAGAGGACCTAGGTTTTGGTTTCTGCTGTATTTTTAGTCTTTCATGTCTCTTCTTCATGGATTCCAATAGTAACAAGTCAGTTATAATTTTCATGAACAAAGTATTTTTAAGTCCATGCTATCAGACTATGTTTTAAATGGCTGTGGAAGGAACACCATTAATTTATGAATCTTGATCCTCCAGAGGCACTACCCATCTTAGTTTTAGAGATTACATCTCAAAAAGATATGAAGGAAAGAGCCGTAGTTTTTTCCTCTTGTCCAAGTCTGTGCATATTTTGTAGTCTAAGAATATATTTGTGATTTCAGCTTGACTGGCAGACCTTCCTAGAGTAAAGCTAATTAAAACTTGCCCAAGCACTAAAAGCATTTTAATTTGAATGATTTTAAAAAGTGAAGTTAATTGCAAACCACATTGCCATGTATGTACCTATGCAACAATCCTGCATGATCTGCACATGTACCCCAGAACTTAACAATAAAAAAAATATAAAAGGGAAGTTAATTAAAAGTACGATTATTAAAAGTTTAATTTTATACAATTTTTAAATTTAAAAATACCATTATCTTTTATTTTAAAGAGTTTCATTATTTTAACCTGTATTAAGGTTTCTTTTTATGTGTGAGCTGGTCACATCTGTCACATTACTTTGTCTAGTCAGACTGTACTGGGACAGTTGTTCTTACTTTGGTCACAGCACTAATAAAAACAGTTTATTAATTATTTTGTGCATGCTTGATAATTGTTATTCAGAAATTCATATTTATAATTTAAAACAAGAGATAATTACTTGATTGGTTACAGGAGCAACTGTACATTAAAATAGTTAATTCTTATAAAAATTAAAATATATCCTAACCTTTTAATTTCTGTAAGAACTAATGTTTCACATATTAATTATGCCCTCTTTACTCATTTGAAACTCTGACTTCAATGGGAATCGAGCCCAGTTGTCAGAATTTATTATATTTATTTCCAGCTCTTTGTGTAAATAGCCTTATGTGCTCATTTTTAAGAAAGGAGCAAAATGCTTTTGTGTAGAGCTCTCAAAATAAGATGAAAATGTCTAAATATACATTATTTTGACCCCAAAAAGATAATTTTCCATAAATAGTGCATCATTAAACAAATGATGCCAGGGTATATATTAATTTATCTACTTTGTGATCAGTTTAGTGAATATAGCTTGGGGTTTTGTTTTTTTAGTCCTGAGGTTTATTAAATATGTTATGACCAGTGTCATTCCAGGATGCTCTGCCTGCAGCTAGTTTCTAAGACTGGATGAAGTTAAATAGGAATACACAGGAGTTTGGGACTGACCGATTTGTGTGATTTTCCAGGTGGCCTCCTGATAGCATCTGCTCATTTTGGGGCATATGTATATGGGACAGACATAGACTACAACACAGTTCATGGCTTGGGTGAGTAGAGATTATAGACGGTATTGTAGTCTTTGCTGTTGTACCAAATATGCCTTTAAAAAGGTAGAATACAGTTGACCCTAGAACAACACAGGCCCACATATACTCAGATTATTTCCATCTCTGCCACTCCTGAAACAACAAGACCAATCCCTCCTCTTCCTCCTCAGCCTACTCAACATGAAGATGATGAGGATGAAGACCTTTATGATGATCCACTTCCACTTAATGAGTAGTAAATCTGTTTTTCCTAAATAAAGTAAGTATAACACTAGGCTATTAGTAGTTAAGTTTTTGGGGGAGTCAAAAGTTATATGTGAATTTTTGACTGTGTGAGGAGTTGGCACCCGTTACCCCCCATGTTGCTCAAGGGTCAACTGTAGTTTTATATGACATTATTTTAATTTTCAAATACAAAATTGTGATGTAATTTCACGTGTTTTATAAGATTTCATAGGGTATTTTATAAGATTATCATTGGATAATCTTTAAAGTAACTTTAAAGATTCTGCCTTAAACTGAGGGTACTTGAAACAGCCATCTGCTTTACTTTTCAGGTAATTATGGAAAATACTTTAAATTCTAGACGCTTCAATAATGACGTGTGATTGGATGGAATTGAATCAAACTGAAAAAATATTTCCTTATAGCTTAATGGTATTAAAAATGTGATTTTCTTGATAATTTCGAGATTATTTGTGTTTATGTTGGGATTCCATTATAGTAACTGGGATCAGCCCTTGTAATAATCTTATCCTTTTCCTCACCCAATATAAGTTATTGTATTGGTGAGCATTTATTATACTTTTTTCTTTTGATGAACTAATTTGATATCTTGTACTGATGACCTGTGTTTTTCCCTATCTTGACTGTAAAGAATTTAGTAACCTTTATTAGGAAAATGAGTTATCATTTATTAGGTGTACATAAATGGGCTAGCAAGAAAAATATATTCTTTATCTGAAATCTGTTTTAAAAAGTACGAAGAATTAGGCCAGGCATGGTGGCTCACACCTGTAATCTCAGCACTTTGGGAGGCCGGGGTGGGCAGATCACCTGAGATCAGGAGTTTGAGACCAGCCAGACTAACATGGTGAAAACCCGTCTCTACTAAAAATATAAAAATTAGCTGGGCATGGTGGCAGGTACCTGTAATCCCAGCTACTCGGGAGGCTGAAGCCTCCTGAGGCAGGAGAATTGCTTGAACCCAGGAGGCGGAGGTTGCAGTGAGCTGAGATCGTTGCACTCTAACCTGGGCTATAGAGTGGGATTCTGTCTCAAAAAGAAAAAGTACTAGGAATTATTCCAATTTGCTTTTAGTAGAAGCAGTATATTTCCTTTGAGGAAGTTGTCTTATATAATTTACTTGAATTTTTATTTATTAAAGTTATATTTGGAAACTTACGTGGTACCTAACCTTCAGTCTACTGGGGTAGAATTCTGATTGAGGTAGAGTTTCCTTAGAGCTGATCCAGGATACTGTTAGGTATGTTCTCTGTTTCCGATGGTTCTGATCTCTTACTTTATCCTGAAATATTCTCGTTTCTCCTGTTTTAAAAGTATAAATTTTTTTTTTTTAGCAAATTTTTAGAGGCTTTCTAGTTACCACTTTGTTTTCCTCTTCCATTTGCCAAAATGCTTCTTGAAAAACTGGTATTAACTTGCTGTCTCTTCTCCTTCGTCTTTCACTCTCTCTTCTTCCCGTTATTTTCCAGCTTCTGTGCCTGTCATTCTGCTGAAAACACATACTAAAACCGTATTCTGCTGAAAACACATACTAAGACCACATTCTGCTGAAAATACATACTAAGACCACATTCTGCTGAAAATACATACTAAGACCACAGATTTATAGGATTTGATGATGTTGACCTTCATACAGCCCCTTGTGGCTTCCTTGACAGTGGTCTCAGCAGGTGGTACTTCTACTTCTTTGTTTCTTCTCAGTCTACTTGAGGCCCTGCAATTTTCTTTGATTTCTGTTTATATATTATTTTTTTCCAGGTGTCTACCTATCTTTGACCACTTCTGTCACATTGCATGTTTTTCAGAGTCATGTCATCCTTTTTTTGATTTTATAAGAATAATTATAGAGCAAATATGTAACTTTCTCTCTTAAGTTAACAGAAAAATATTATTGAGCCTCATGGAGTCAGTTTAAGATTATAAACTGATAACTCCCAAGTGTGTATCTTCTGGCCTTCAACTACCTGCTGCATGTCTCCACTGCATATCTTTTTCTGAATGTTCTGCAGGTAACTCAAGGTACATCAAGATTGATATATCTCAAATGAATCCCATCTTTTTTTTTAAGCTTTTTTTTCTTCCTGTTTTCTCTGATATTAATCACTGTTGTCATCATCCTAAACTATTATGTCTCCTAAACAAGGAACTTATGAGCTTCTTCAGTCTTCCATCCACAGCCACTTTAACTTTTCATTAGTTAGCAGTGTCTCCATTTGCCTCCCTTTTCCATGGTCACAACTGCTGCATTTCCTGAGTTAGCTCTTTGTTTCTGTTTCATTTATCTGATTCATCACTATCTCTACACCGGACTGTTTACTGCAGGAAGGAAGGAACCATATTCTCTTCAACTCTATCCTACTTGAAGCTATCGAATGAGTGTTTTAAGGCAGTTTTACTTGAAAGGTGACAGAACAAGATAAGTTAGACATCAGTACATTTTACTGTTATGTTGAAATTAAAATATATACTTGTATACATAAAATTAAGTTTTTAAATGAAAGCCAATTTTGAATAAATGTAGGTTTCAGTGAGTTAAAACATTACTTTTAGCTAAACAACAAGAAATAAGAACACTCTGTTTAATACATTCTCTCTTCCTTTTTCTTCCCCTTCAGGAAAGGCCAGTAGGAAAAACCAGAAATGGAGAGGACCAGATGAAAACATTAGGGCCAATCTTCGTCAATATGGTTTAGAAAAGTATTACCTTGATGTCCTGGTTTCAGATGCATCTAAACCTTCCTGGAGAAAGGGCACATATTTTGATGCAATCATTACTGATCGTAAGTTTATTTTTATACAAAAATAAGAGTAGGACTAGTTTCATAAAATGATTTACATTTAAAGTACAAAATTTACCAACACATGCACAAAATGCCAACTTGTCAGTATTTCTCCCATCTACCCCCAGCTTTCTTACCTCGTTATGAAGGTAGCGTGGATTCCGAACTTAACTATGGGCTGGGTGTGGTGGCTCATGCCTGTAATCCCAGCACTTTGGGAGGCTGAGGCGGGCAGATCACTAGGTCAGGAGTTTGAGACCAGCCTGGCCAGTATGGTGAAACCCTGTCTCTACTAAAAATACAAAAAGTTAGCTGGGCATAGTGGTAGGTGCCTGTAATCCAAGCTACTCAGGAGGCTGAGGCAGGAGAATCACTTGAAGCCAGGAGGCAGAGGTTATAGTGAGCGGAGACTGTGCCACTGCACTCCAGCCTGGGGACAGGGTGAGACTCCGTCTCAAACAAAACGAAAACAAAAAAACTTAAATATGTTGTTAAAGGTTTACTGTTATAAGTGCCCATATGAGGAGAATGGAGAGATCCAAAATTGACATCCTATCGTCAAAATTGAAAGAGCTAGAGGAGCAAGATCAAAAAAACTCAAAACCCAGCAGAAGACAAGAAATAACTAAGATCAGAGCTGAACTGAAGGAGATTAAGACACGAAAAACCCTTAAAAAAATCAGTAAATCCAAGGGCTGGTTTTTTGAAAAGATCAACAAAATAGACCACTAGCCAGATTGATTAAAAAGAAAAGAGAGAACAACCAAATAGATGCAATAAAAAATGATAAAGGGGAAATCACCACAGATTCCACAGAAATTCAAACCATCATCAGAGAATATTACAAACAACTCTATGCACATAAACTAGTAAACCTGGAAGAAATGGATAAATTCCTGGACTCCTGCATCCTCCCAAGCCTAAACCAGGAGGAAGCTGAAACTATGAATAGACCAATAACAAGGTCAGAAGTCGAGGCAGCAATTAAGAGCCTACCACACAAAAAAAGCCCAGGTCCAGATGGGTTCACAGCCGAATTCTACCAGACACACAAAGAGGAGCTGGTACCATTCCTTCTAAAACTATTTCAAACAATCCAAAAAGAGGGAATACTTCCCAAATCATTTTACGAGACCAACATCATTCTGATACCAAAACCCGGCAGAGACCCAACAAGAAAAGAAAACTTCAGGCCAATATCCATGATGAACATAGATGCAAAAATCTTCAATAAAATATTGGCAAGCCGAATGCAACAGCAAATCAAAAAACTTATTCACCATGATCAAGTAGGATTCATCCCGGGGATGCAAGGCTGGTTCAACATACGCAAGTCTATAAACGTAATTCACCACATAAATAGAACCAAAAACAAAAACCACATGATTATCTCAATTGACGCAGAGAAGGCATTTGACAAAATTCAACAGCCCTTTATGCTAAAAACCCTCAATAAACTCGGTATCGATGGAACGTATCTCAAAGTAATAAAAGCTATTTATGACAAACCAACAGCCAATATCATAATGAATGGGCAAAAACTGGAAGCATTCCCTTTGAAATCTGGCACTAGACAAGGATGCCCTCTTTCACGACTCCTATTCAATATAGTTCTGGAAGTTCTAGCCAGAGCAATCAGGCAAGAAAAAGAAATAAAGGGTATTCAAATGGGAAAGGAGGAAGCCAAATTGTCTCTATTTGCAGATGACATGATAGTATACCTAGAAGACCCCATCACCTCAGCCCAAAAACTCCTGAAACTGATAAGCAACTTCAGCAAAGTCTCAGGATATAAAATCAATGTGCAAAAATCACAAGCATTCGTCTACACCAATAACAGACTTAAAGAAAGCCAAATCAAGAACGAACTGCCATTCACAATTGCTACAAAAAGAATAAAATACCTTGGAATACAACTCACAAGGAACGTAAGGGAGTTCTCTTCAAGGAGAACTACAAACCACTGCTCAACGAAATCAGAGAGGACACAAACATGGAGAAACATTCCATGTTCATGGTTAGGAAGAATTAACATCGTGAAAATGGCTATACTGCCCAAAGTAATTTACAGAATCAATGCTATCCCCATCAAGCTACCATTGACTTTCTTCACAGAACTGGAAAAAACCACCATGAACTTCATATGGAACCAAAAGAGAGCCCGCATAGCCAAGTCAATTCTAAGCAAAAAGAACACAGCGGGGGGCATCACACTACCGGATTTCAAACTATACTACAAGGCTACAGTAATCAAAACAGCATGGTACTGGTACCAAAACAGAGATATAGACCAATGGAACAAAACAGAGGCACCGGAGGCAACACAACATATCTACAACTATACAATCTTTGATAAACCTGACAAAAACAAGCAAGGGGGAAAGGATTCCCTGTTTAACAAATGGTGTTGGGAAAACTGGCTAGCCATGTGCAGAAAGCAGAAACTGGACCCCTTCCTGACACCTTACACTAAAATTAACTCCAGATGGATTAAAGACTTAAACATAAGACCTGGCAGGATAAAAACCCTAGAAGGAAATCTAGGCAAAACTATCCAGGACATAGGAGTAGGCAAGGACTTCATGAACAAAACACCAAAAGCATTGGCAACAAAAGCCAAAATAGACAAATGGGACCTAATGAAAATCCACAGCTTCTGCACGGCAAAAGAAACAGTCACTAGAGTGGATCGGCAACCAACAGAATGGGAAAAAATTTTTTCAGTTTACCCATCTGACAAAGGGCTGATATCCAGAATTTACAAAGAACTCAAACGGATTTACAGGAAAAAAACAAACAAGCATATTCAAAGTGGGCAAAGGATATGAACAGACACTTTACGAAAGAAGACATATATGAGGCCAACAATCATATGAAAAAATGCTCATCATCACTGGTCATCAGAGAGATGCAAATCAAAACCACATTGTGATACCATCTGACGCCAGTTAGAATGGCGATCATTAAAAAATCTGGAGACAACAGATGCTGGAGAGGATGTGGAGAAAAAGGAACACTCTTACACTGTTGGTGAGAGTGTAAATTAGTCCAACCATTGTGGAAGACAGTGTGGTGATTCCTCAAGGCCTTAGAAATAGAAATTCCATTTGACCCAGCAATCCCATTACTGGGTATATATCCAAAAGACTATAAATCGTTCTACTACAAGGACACATGTACACGAATGTTCATTGCAGCACTGTTTACAATAGCAAAGACCTGGAATCAACCCAAATGCCCATTGATAATAGACTGGATTGGAAAAATGTGGCACATATACACCATGGAATATTATGCAGCAATCAGAAATGATGAGTTTGTGTCGTTTGTAGGGACATGGGTGAATCTGGAGAACGTCATCCTCAGCAAACTGACACAAGAACAGAAAATGAAACACCGCATATTCTCACTCATAGGCGGGTGATGAAAAATGAGAACACATGGACACAGAAAGGGGAGTACTAAACACTGGGGTCTATTGGGGGGAAAAGGGGAGGGCCAGTGGGAGGGGGAGGTGAGGAGGGATAGCCTGGGGAGAAATGCCAAATGTGGGTGAAGGGGAGAAGGAAAGAAAAGCACACTGCCATGTGTGTTCCTACGCAACTGTCTTGCATGCTCTGCTCATGTACCCCAAAACCTAAAATCCAATAAAAAAAAAAAATAAAGGTTTACTGTTTTTGTTTTCTAAACAGATGTATTGACTTGCCATCCACTTTTACATCCTTTTATATTAACTCGTCACCCGTTTTTCCCTTTAGCTTATTTTTTGAGGCATATATTTAATATTTGTTTTTGTATTGAATATAATTGGTGGTTATTACACCAGCTGGAGCTCAAATGTCATTTGCAATTATGGTGTCAAATTTTGAAGAAAAGAGTTTCAGATATCACACATTTCTCTATGTGTAAGTATTTGTGTTTTTCTAGTGCCTGTTTTCACTGGCATTGCCTTTCTAGCATTACAAGAAATTTGGGGTTCTGTGAAACCACTGGGCCTGTGAACCCACTGAGCTTCAGGAATGTGCGTGAAAATTTACTTTCCTATGCTTCATGAGGTCGTGAGCTTTTTAGGCAGCCTATCTATGAAACGGTCTGCTTTTTCTATAGTATTTGACAGTAATTCTGTAAATAGTGGCAAAGTTGAACCCTTCTATCTCAGCTGCCTTTAGTTCTTTTCTAACTTAGTTATTTTCAGATGTAACAAATGAGAAATTATCAAGGCATTATGGTTTCAGGAGTGAATATACTTTATGAAAATTTGGTGATTTTTTAAAAAATTCAAAGTTTGCTTTATTATTTGCTCTTTCACTCTGTGTTTACTTATATAAAATACATATATATAGATTTTTTCCTGATCAACTTGAGAGTAAGTGGCATACATTGTGGCCTTTTACTCCTATACTTCAGTGTGTATTTCCTGAGAATATAGGTAGTCTCTTAGCAAAAATACAGTTATCAATTTCAGTAAATCGATAAAATAATTTCATCTGCAGTTTGCCATTCAATTTTGTCAATTGACTCAGTAGTATCTTTTATGGCATATATTTTCCCTCTGGGACAGGATCTACTCTAGAGTCAGGTGTTGTATTTAGTAATGATATCTTTGAAGCCTCCTTTAATTTGTAACACTTCTACAGCCTTTCTCAATAACTTTTATAACATCAGCATGTTTTAAGAAGACAGTTGCTCCTTCCCCAAGTCTTTACGTTGTACATTTTCAGTTGGAATTGTGCATTGGTGGTGTTGTGTCCTTCTTAGAGTGTCACATTTGAAGGCAACATGTCTGTTTGCCCTTCATCAGTGATTTGGTGACTTTTGACTCTCTGTGTTACCTTTGTTTTCTGTCTAGCTCCATATGGTATCAGAGAATCTACAAGAAGAACAGGTTCACAGAAGGAAATACCAAAGGGGATAGAAAAATGGTAAGAGAAATTTAAATATGTTGTGTTACGACTTTAAGAAGAAGCATGTTGCTTCTGTAGTTAACTTAGCAGTCTTAAAATTTTTCACTGATTTTGAAATTTTGTTTTGTGTAGTCCAGAAAGCCATGTTCCTGTTTCCTTAAGTTATCATCTGAGTGATATGTTTCTTGACCTATTAAACTTCGCAGCTGAGACCCTCGTGTTAGGTGGAAGACTTGTCTATTGGTTACCGGTGTATACGCCAGAGTATGTAATTTTAATTTTATTTTTAATTTCATTTTTCTTACAATGTTTGAATATCTAGTATAATTTTTTCTTTCTCTCATCTTGCATTCGGGGCATCTTTGTATTAAATTTGTAATAGCCTTTATATGCCTTCAAATGTGTATAAAATAGTCTTTTTATTTGTTTGTTTTTTTGAGACAAGGTCCTGCTCTGTTGCCCAGGCTGGAGTGCAGTGGTTTGATCATGACTCACTGCAGCCTCTTGACCTCCCAGGCTCAAGTGATCCTCCCACCTCAGCCTCCTGAGTAGCTGGGACTACAGGCATGCATCACCACGCTCAGCTAATTTTTTAAATTTTTTGTAGTGTTGGAGTCTCACTATGTTGTCCAGGTTGGTTTTAAACTTCTAGGCTCAAACAATCTATTACCATGGCCTAACTTAGTTATGCATATTGTTATCAGCCGATAAGAGAGAATAATATGTTTGTACCCAGATCCCTTAACACTGAGTTTGTTTTGTTGCTAATGATAATCTCATTTAACATCTTTTAGAATGGGGAAACTTAATTAAGGAGTAAAATAACCTATCTAGAATTAAAATCCAGAGAGCTAATTTGTTTCCTTATTCCCAGTGCTATATTCACTTATTTCAACATCCTGCCTGATCTCCTCTACTTAGTACATGAAATGATAGGTGAGGTTTTGTTAATATTTTCAGATAAAAGTATATTTGTTCATGTCTTTGCAAAAATGGTTCCTGCCTTAGACAAACTGAATTCCAGCACCAGCTACTTACTTTTTGTTTTAATTCAAGTTGCAGGGCTAAAAAAAAATTATTGTGAAATAATTTCAAACTTACAGAAGGTTCAAATACAATATAGGAAACTCCCATCTCTACCACATTTTCCCAATCTATCCACATTTTCCCAATATTAATATATATCTACCTCCCGTCCACTCCTGCACATATGTATTATCACTAATCTTTTTGAAATTGTTTGAGAAATTGTTGGTTTGGTGCCCTCTTACCCCTATATACATCATTGTATTTTTTAGAAACAAGAACATTCCTATCTAACCATGCTCAGCCCTCCAAGTCTGGATGTTAGCATTGATAACAGTGTTACCATCCAGATCATAGACCCCATTCAAATTTTACCAATTGCAATCCATGTAGGAAAATGCTATAATCATCCATCTTATCTTTTTTGGTCTTCTCCGGTCTGGAATATTTTCTGTCTTTCCATATCTTTTGTGTCCTTGGCAGTTTTGTAGAGGACATGGCTTATATTCTGAAGGTTGATCTTCCACCAGGGGCCATCTGATATTTCCTCTGTACCCAGACTGAGGTAATGCTTTCTTGGTAAGAGTATCACAGACATGATCTTTTCAGCACATCATAGGGCACACAAAGCCACTCCTCCTGGTAATGTTAACTTTCATTGTCTGGTCATGCTCTTTTCTGTCAGATTTCTCTTCTCTGAATCATCATTTTCTTCTTTGATTTATATTTTATGGGAAAATATAACAAGATTACACTAATATCTTGTTTTTAATGAGATCACTACTCAGATTGATGATTCCATTGTTGGCAGCCACTGCTGTGGTGGTTGCCAAATGATTCTTCTGTTCCATCATTTCTTCTGCGTTTGGAAGTTAGTATTCTATAAGAAAGAGCTTTTCTTTCTGCCTCATTTATTTCATTAATTTATAGTGGTATGGAGTCATGGATTCCTATATTATTGATTGGGTTGTAATTCATCAGTAGTATTATTATGTTGCTCAAATTGTCCCAGATTTGACCAGTGGAAGTTTTTTGAGCTGGCCCTTCTGTCCTTTTGAAAAATATTCTCAGTAGTTTTTTATGGAATTCCTTCCTTTTTAGCATATCTGACTGTTGATTATTTTATAGTTTATTGTTTAATAATACTTGAAATCATATATGTTTAAGAATTTATTTTGGAGTTCTTTTATTCCTTTATAAAAAGTAATATTGGAGGTTTTTTTTTTTTTTGAGACGGAGTTTCACTCTTGTTACCCAGGCTGGAGTGCAATGGCGCGATCTCAGCTCACCGCAACCTCTGCCTCCTGGGTTCAGCCAATTCTCCTGCCTCAGCCTCCGGAGTAGCTGAGACTATAGGCACGTGCCACCATGCCCAGCTAATTTTTTGTATTTTTAGTAGAGACGGGGTTTCACCATGTTGACCAGGATGGTCTCGATCTCTTGACTTTGTGTCCACTCACCTTGGCCTCCCAAAGTGCTGGGATTACAGGCTTGAGCCACGCGCCCAGCCTGGAGGTTGTTTAAACTGAATATATTTCTAAAGACTTTAAAAAGTGGCCACTGGATATTTCTGCAATGACTTCTTTATTTGAGTAATTTTAGACAAAGGAAGATTTCAAAACATATAACCCAAGTGATGTTTTAGAAATAGAAAAGGGAGACATGTTTTACTGATTTTTTTTTTTTTTGTCTTAGATGTTTTATCAATGGATGGATTTCTTCGTTATTGGCTAACACATATGGAAAGACTACAGTGGCATTTATTTCCCTCAGTTTTTGGCCCCTGGAGAAAGTTATTTTCAGATCCCCTGATGTTCGTTATTAGACCTCAGTTATCTTTTCTCTTTAAGCCTGAAGTGATCTTATTAGTTATTAATAGTGAACTAAATTTGTCTTGAGTTTATGCTAGAAATAATGAACTGTTTTCATATCCAAGATCTTTACTCTTTCGAAAATTCTTTACTGTTTTGAAAATAACACAGTATCAGGATGAATTTGAGTCTAAAGTCATCTGTAAAAGTTTGAAATAATGTTCTTCTGAATAAAACAGTTTAGAATTCATTTAATTATGTTATATTGAAAATGTAGCTTAACATTGGACCAGGAGTAAAAAGGAATTCAATTTACAATTGTACCTTAGCATAGTTTAATTTTAAGACTTATGTATTTTTGGTGTAGTGAATGTTGGCTATTAGTTCTATTATTGAATTAATCTACTCTCAGCCAAATCCTGTTTTATGATCCAAGTTACATTATAACCGAGTCCAGGTATTATTTTAACCCAGGATCAATTGAAAAGTATAAGACATGAAAGCAAAATACTGTCTAAAAGCTTAGTTATATATGGAAAATTACGAGAGCTAACAATTGAAAAGAATTTTCTCACCGTTTGACAATTTAAATTGCAGTAAAGAAACTGCTACTCAGAAACTTATGCTGGTTTTTTTCCTTCTAGTCTAGACTCTTTCCCACTCTAGTATATCAGACTTTTTGCCAGCATCAGGATACTCTGTGAATTTTATGTCTTTTCACCTTTATTTGTTCTGTTTCCATTGTTTGAAATGCCCTTTCTTCTTTCCTCAATTGGTAAAATTCTAGTCATTTTTCAAGGCCTGGCTTAATTGTCAACACTTCTGTGACACCATCTCAGATACGTCTCAGCAGAATTAATCAGTCCTTCCTCTGCACTCTCAAGTCTCTGTAAGTGGTAAAAACACTTATAGAGACTTAACACATACAATTTCTGTAGACTGTTGGTATTTGTGAGTTTATTATTTACAATTTTGACTACTTGGAAGTGACCCAGATTATCACTTCCAATCATATATACAGGGCTTCAGTACAATGTGTACACATACAATCCATGTATGTTCCATGTTGTACGAGTCAGTGTGCTACTGAGTGGGTGTAGCTGTTTGCCCAGGCTTCACATATCCATTTAGCTTTATCTTAATTTCATTGTACATAGATAACTCTTGAAGTGATTGAAAACAGCGTTTCTTTATAAAAGATGACCTTTATAGAAATCTAACTGCTAGTGTTAGTGATAACATGATGACATACTTATATTAAAATATCACATTGTACCCCCCAAATATATATAATTATTCATCAATTAAACATTTTTAAAAGGGTGAGAAAGAAGCTAATAATGTGCCCCTAAAGTAGGACTTGGAGATAAATTTTGATCATAGTAAGATAAACTTTGTGGTGGCTATAATTAGTGAAGAGAACATGTTTTTCGTCTCTTAGGAAAGAGGAAAAAGTGATTTCTTAAGCTGTTTTCAGTTAATGTTTAATCAATTCAAAATCTGTTTCTCAAATGGGAGCTGAAATTCTAGTGACATTTGGAAAGTAGTTGAAGCATGACGATTCACAGGAAAATGAATGACAGTCAAAATTGATTCATGGAAAATCTAAGGGCCTATGTACACAATTATTATTTTTAAAAATTGAAATAGAATTTGTATACCGTGAAATTCACCCTGTTAATGTATACAGCGTCATGGTTTTTAGTTTATCCACAAAGTTGTGTGATCATTACCACTTGGTAATTCCAGAACATTTTCCTCATACTTCCCCCAGCCCCGCAGCAGAAGTACTGCATAGGCATTATCAGTTACCATCCCCTACCTCTGGCAACCACCTGTCAATCTCTGTGGATTTGCCTATTAAGGATAATTTAGTTTTTAAATAGATAACTTGGATTGTAGGAGGATGTTAATAAAAACAGAGAGTTAAGATAGGATTTGGTACTGTCATAATAGTCCAGGTAAAATACAGATTTATGCCTTCTACTTAACTATTTGCCAACAGTCCTTTGGAATGAAATATATTGGTAAATATACAGTGAAGATTTTTTTTTGAGACAGAGTTTCGCTCTTGTTGCCCAGGCTGGAGTACAGTGGCACCATCTTGGCTCACTACCACCTCCACCTTTTAGGTTCAAGTGACTCTTGCCTAAGCCTCCCAAGTAGCTGGGATTACAGGCATGCGCCACCATGCCTGGCTAATTTTGTATTTCTAGTAGAGATGGGGTTTCACCATGTTGGCCAGGCTGGTCTCGAACTCCTGACCCCAGGTGATCCACCTACCTCGGCTTTCCAAAGTGCTAGGATTGCAGGCAAGAACCACTGCGCCCAGCCGAAGAATGTTTTAACTGCTATTTTTAATCTTTTTAGTATGGTACTTTGGGAACATATTGTTAAATTGATTGGCTCATTAATATAATAGATTATATTAATTAATAGATTAATAGCTAAAAATGAGTTAAGATTGTGTCAGAAAAGATAATATAAAACATGTAAACATGCTTTTCTGCTCTTAAACCAAAAGCAGCAGCTTAGTTCAGCAGTTTAGCATCACTCATGTCATAGATGTTAATTAAAATTGTATTTTTTTTGTACTCTGGGATTTGCTTTATAAATTTACTTACAGGGTTTTATAGTTAGGGTATAAACATAAAGAGTTTGTATCTAATTTATGCTTGTACTTATTTAAGTGACATTTTAATAAAAATGCTTTAAGTCAGTCTTCCAGGAAGTAAAAGATTTTTTTCCTTTATAAAAGAGTATATTACTTAGTTTGACACACACAGTTTCCAGCATCTATATATCCTACAGTTTGTAAGCTTAAGTTCAAGGCTATATCTTCTCTCTTTTAGCACTTTTTATTTTAGTCTCAACTGTGATGTAGAATTTATTCTTTCTACTGCACTCCAGCCTGGGCAACAGAGCAAGACCTTGTCTCTGAAAAAGAAAAAAAAAAAGTATTCTTTCATGTCATAAATGTGTTGCATAAAGATTCAAAATTTGATGTCAGTGTTATAAGAAGTATGACATTTCTGGCTATGCAGTGAGCATTGAGGAATTGCTAGATGAGGTGAAATCTGAATTGCTTGTTACTTGTTGGAAAGCTTTAGGAAGAAGTCAGAGAATGACTTCAAGATAATTCTTTCCACTGAGAATAAATTCTTTCCACTGAAGTGCCTTATGAATGATGCTTGGGAAGTGGGTGATGATGGGTTTGAGCATATGGTTTAGGTAATAGGGATAGCTCGTTGAAGGTCAGTGGGACCTGGAAAAGTTCATGAAAGAGTGGTGATGAAAACAGTATTGATGCATTAAAACAGGTAGCTGAGATTGTGATTCTTTACATGAAAAGCTAATCAGCACTTTTCCTATTTTGGATCAGACCTTTAAGATTACCTGTTTAATAAATGTGTGCAGGCATCATCCAAAAAGGCATAAAAAATTGCAAAGGAAAAATAAATACTGGCAATGCAGTGTTCTTAAAAGTACCCATGCCTAGTGAGTCCCCTCCCTTGCTGTTCTTTCACATTCTGTTCCACAGCTATTTCCCCACCTCTGTTGTCTATTTCTTTTGCCAAATTGATGCTAACAACCTGTCAGATGCCAGATTCTGAACTCCTGCCCTTGACCATCCTGCTTTCTAGACATTGTCATTATCTCCATCCATGTAGGACATGTGCTGTACAGCAGCAGGCTCCACCACTCACTGGCATAGTTTTTGTTTTATTTTTTCGTTCATATGAGCAGAAGATTGATGTAACCTGTAGTGTCTATTTTAGTTGTAGTTTATTTGAATAATTTTACAAATAACTGTAGTTCTTTATTTACAAACTTAATAGAGGTCTCGAGATGTTATTAAAATTTTACAGAGGTATTTCATTTAGAGTAAAGTATATGCTATAGTGGATTTTATACTTTGTGAATTTATAAAAATCTACGGATGAATCAACCCTTCATGAATGTCAAGGGATGTTTTTGAGTGTATTTTTGTCCATATTCTCTTACGGAATTCTGTAGGGTGGAATCATCTTGTACTTTTGCGGTTTGAATGTTTGGCATTCTTCAACAAAATGTACTTAAAATATTTCTCTCTTATTCTATAGGTAAAATATTAAACTGCATTTTTGAGATATGATAAAATTAAGATACTTTGTAGGTAGTTTATGGATCATATGGACAGTTAGCATATGTGGGGAAAAGAGCATGTAGTGGAAGGACATCCCACACCACACTGGGTGATTCTCATGATTCTTTGTGGGCCACACATGTGAGTGTTCCTAACAGTCAGCTGCTCTTTCTACAGATACACTGAAGAGATGGTGCCTCAGCACCCGTGCCTGAAGCTCATTAGCAACTGCGAGCAGAAGCTTTCCAGTCACACATCAAGGCGCTTGATCACAATGGAAAAGGTGAAGAAATTTGAGGTAAATTGGTTTAGTATTTTTGGCATAAATCCTGAAAGAATCAAATGTAGTTGTTTCTAAATAGTTTTCCTATGATTGAGTTTGGAAATGTTAGTCCTTGATACTTAAAAAATTACAGATGAAGGCCGGGCGCGGTGGCTCAAGCCTGTAATCCCAGCACTTTGGGAGGCCGAGGCGGGTGGATCACGAGGTCAAGAGATCGAGACCATTCTGGTCAACGTGGTGAAACCCCGTCTCTACTAAAAATACAAAAAATTAGCTGGGCACGGTGGTGCGTGCCTGTAATCCCAGCTACTCGGGAGGCTGAGGCAGGAGAATTGCCTGAACCCAGGAGGCGGAGGTTGCGGTGAGCCGAGATTGCGCCATTGCACTCCGGCCTGGGTAAGGAGAGCGAAACTCCGTCTCAAAAAAAAAAAAAAAAAAAATTACAGATGAATTTAGCAAGAGGCAGAAGTTGAAGAGATTTGTGGCATCTGGTTGGGATTGAAGGGTAGGAGTTGGACATAGACACAGACATTGAGTAGAGGACAAATAAATGTTGACCCTCACTTCTCAGGCTTTATTTGACATCCTTATTGCTAATTCAGTTATAAAACAGCATTCTTAAACAACTGTTATCAAATTAGCAATGTCCTACTTACCATTTTTCTCCAAAAGCAGAACCTACTTGATTTCAGACTGTAATGAAGAGAATATGTTGCTTTATAAAGAGAGAAAGTAAATGTCCCCAGTTTGTTAGGGTCCAACACATTCTGTCTCTCTTTTGCTCTCTCTTGCATACAAAATTTATTTAAGCTTAAGAAGGAACGAAACGTCTGTTATTTCATGCCCAGACCAGAATTGACATGAATAGTACCTCATAATGGAGCTTAATTAAATCTACAAAAGCTCTTGGGGCTGTACTTCTGTGGACTGACAACCAACTCTCTCAAATTCACTGGAGACTTGGAAGACCCCCCATTCTTGCTTTGGACCTTTAGGGTAAGCAGAAGAAAGGTGGTAGTGTCTGAAGATTTCATACCCATCTCTAGTCTGCATTTGATTTGTTTTTGTATAGTTCCCATCTTATGGATTATTTCATAGTAATGAAAACTAATATTTGCACAGTGCCTTTTGCATATATTATTTTATATCATTGTTTTTTTCCTTTTTATTTTCATTTGCTATCTCTAATTTAGACCCTTATTACCATACACCTGGCTTAAGTTCAGTCTCCTAAATGATCTTCATACCTCTAGTTTATATGTTAAATGAATCTTCCTAAAACACTGAATTCATTATGTCACCACCTTATGCAAAATTTTTTTATTACTGAATAATGTTCAGAATTTTCAGTGTGACATCAACTGTCATCTGTAATCAGGCTCCAGTATCAGGGCTTTTAAGAAAGCTTAACCTATACATCTATATTAGCAGTTGATGGGTGTCTGCTATGTGTATATATTATATATATATATATGGTTATATGTGTACATACATGTAAACATGGATGTATAGGTATATGTGGTGTAATTAAAATGAAAATGTAAGTCATTTTTAAAACAAAAATACGAGAAGTTTATATTCAGATTACATCCTTGGAGTGGAATCTTTGTACTCATCTATTTCTGTCATAATTTTTCAGCATGTTCTTGAAAGTTACCTTTTAGATTTGTCTCTAAAGAAGTATTTTTATATTAATCAGTTATTTTGCTTTATAGTAATACCTTGCTTTTCTTCAAATGATTTTACTGGTCTTTGCTGCTCATATTTTATACCAGAATAATTATTTAAAATTGTTTTTAGAAATCAGATTCTGTTTCAAAGATGATTTGCCATTAAACATTTAAAACATTGCAGATTCAGAAATTCTAAAAATGGTTTCCAAATTGTTTGGCATCATTACAGCCTTCCAAAATGAAAATTTAAAATGACTAACATTTATTTGGATATACAGTAGAAGCCCTCTTATCTAACATCCATTTCAAACTCTGTTGATTAACCAATACTGTCCACTGTTTCTTTAAAACACAATGCCGGATGCAATCTGTTGTATGTTGAATACTTTCAGCTGGTGAGTTGCTTGATCTCTACTATATTTATAGTATTTCTGCATCTATCAGCTGAATTATCTGTTTAACAAGACTCTCTTGTGGTGTTCTCAGAGCTGTTTATGCCAGTTATATTTGTTATGGTAATTATGTAATCTACTTAAATACTAGTTAGACTAGTGAAATATTTATGTAAGAAAAAGTTGTAATTTCTATAAAAACGAAGTTGAATGCTTTAGAAAGAACAAAGAGAGTTCGTTAAAAAAGACTCTTGAATTGAGAATGGGTTGGAAAAAAAGTAATTGCAATCTAGGTTTTGCACCCAGATTGCTTGTAAGTTCTTGCATCATTTTATAGAAGCCTAAACTGGAATTCCTTAAAAGGTCTTGATTCTGTATGAGTATATACATATGAATATCGATTTTTTAAGTTAAGTTAAATGTGTTTACAAAGCATTTTAATTTCTTCCTGCTTTTATTTACTTATACCAATTAACTAACTGTATTAGTGTGCCTGGGCTGCCATGACCAAATACCGCAGACTGGGCAACTTAACAGAAGTTTTTTTTTCTCACAGCTACGGAGGCTGGAAATTCAAGATTAAGGTGTCAGCAGACTTGGTTTCTTGCAGGTTTCCACTTTCTTGCTGTCCTCACAGGGCCTTTCCTTTGTGCATCTGCACTTCTGGTGTTTCTTCCTACTCTGTTAGTTTTAGATTTAGGCAGTGCCTTACTTTGCCACCCAGGCGAGAATACAGTGGCATTATTATACCTCATTGTAACCTCAAACTCCTGGGCTCAAGCCTCATCCATCTTCTTTCTCTTATTAAAAGAATGACAGTTCTCGCCTGTAGTCCTAGTACTTTGGGAGGCAGAGGCGGGCGGATCACCAGGTCAGGAGTTTGAGACCAGCCTGGCCAACATAGTAAAACCCCATCTCTACTAAAACTATTGAAAATTAGTTGGGCATGGTGGCGGGCACCTGTAGTGCTAGCTACTCAGGAAGCTGAGGCAGGAGAATTGCTTGAATCCAGCGGGGCAGAGGTTTCAGTGAGCTGAGATCATGCGTTGTACTCTAGTCCAGGCAACAGTGCAAGACTTGGTCTAAAAAAAAAAGTGACGGTTCTCTTAGATTAAGGCCCCACCTTTATGACTTCATTTACTCATATTTACCTCCTTAAAGGCCCCATCTCCAAATACAGTCATATTGAGAGTTAGGGCCTCAACATATGAATTTTAGGGTAGAACACAAGTCATTCCATTACACTAACCATTGCCAATATCCATCACATTGAATAAGAGTCCTCTGTTGTATGTTAGAGGATACTTTTTTTCCTCTTCTAGTCACTTATTCTCATGTATACATTTGTCTTTTAGTATTTTAAAGGAAGTAAGGCATTTTGATAATTCAGATGGTAATGTTACAGCTCTGAGAAATAATAGCATTTAATGGAATCATTTGAGTTAGTAATATAATAGTAACTAACATTTCTGTGCCAGGCACATGAGTAATATATATAAAAAAACAGTAATTACCTGTAGATTTTGCAGTTTTAAGTTGTGATATTAGAAAGTAAAGTAAATGGCATGAATATTCTTTATTGTGTGGCATACATAAATAGTATTCCAAAGAATTAGGAGAAGGAAGTCTCCACATCTTGAATAATTCATGCAGCCACATAATAAATCAGCCATTCTATTTTAATTGAAAAAATTAAAAATTAAGATCCATTGTGAACTAATTTTTATACTTGCTTTCTGCCGAGTTTTATTTGTTTAAAGTCTGGTATTTTTCCCCAGATTTATAGTATTTCTTTAAGCAAATTTATTTGAGACTCAAAGAAAAATGGGCTTTTGAGAAGTCTTGTCTTATATTAAAATGGTAAACGAGGGTACTCACCTTTGATATTTTTAAACCTGTAAAAGCAATGCTTATTTTTTGGGGGTTTTCTTTTTATCCATTTACTATGTTCTTTTCAAATTGATTTAAAAAAACAAGGAAAAACCTTGTAATTTTTTGAAATGGTCTTCCCTATATAAGATTGAATTTAGTGAGTTTTTATTAGTATAACCGAAAATACTTCGTCATGTTAAATTAATCACATTTGGTTTTTAATTAATTACTTTATTTCTACCTTTTGTTTGTGTGGAGAGGAGTGTATATAATTGCAGCAGGATCTCAATCCTTTATAATGCAAGTGATGACATAAAATTGTCAAACAGTTCTCACACACGTCTAACAAATTATTCTTGGGCTGGTTCAGCATTGTTGATTTTGGCAATGGAAGACTGTCAGTTTTAGATTTTTACACTTTTGTATACTGTATCTCTTTGTTTTTGATTTGTCACTTGTTAGGTTTAACTTCAGTATAACTGTTGGCCCATTTGGTATGTTGTTATATTCTCCTTTTCCCTCTTTTAAAAATGTAAATGTAAGTTACAACAAAAATTGTCTAAGGAATATTGGTATTTTATAAAATGTTGAATCCTTAGACTATTGACCATAGTTTTTAGACTTGCTTATGGCACATAAGTAGTAAAGAAGAAAATTCTTGAAAACTATTAAAATTTTGAAGTTGCCTGAGAAGCAGGGCCAGGTTTTTTTCATTATTCATTGTTGATATATTCTGAAAGTCAAGTGAATGATAGCACTTTTATAATGCATTATTGTTTGCAAAACTTCCCTATCCATTTGACTTTATTAATTTCCCCATTTAGAAATGAAGAAGAGTTGCCTGGGACTATCCCAGTTCGCTTAAATAGTAAGTGGCAGAGTTGAGACCAAAACTCCTCTTTGTACTTGAAGTTCTGTGTCCTTTTTTCTACATCTTGTTGCCTTTCTACTGAAACATATTTCTACCTTTAGAATATGCCAAGATGAAAAGGTAAATATTCTTGAATGACATATTACTAGTTTGTTTTTTTTTTACAGATAGTCTTTCCTTGTCCTGCTGTTTAGCTAGTGTTACTTT